CCCGTTCCATCAGGAGATTTTTCTCCAAGGAATAGTATAAGTTTTTTATGTCCATTGAAAAAACAAACCGACGCTCATGGTGATGTTCCCCCAAAATTTCGATTAGTTCCGCAGTGTTCCTGAGCGATAACGCGTTCGCCAACGGCACAAAAGAAAACCCCTTCTGGATGAACCCCGATACAACTTTCTGCCACGTTCCATTTTCATTGATTACAGCACGTAATGGCATTTCCGGCTTGTGATCCTTCAGAAAAAATTTGATGCCCAATTCTGAACGCTGTGCGCCTCTGATTCTAGTGACTAATTGGTCGAATTCATACTCCTTAAGTTCTTTGCAAACACCTCCCCTCAGTCGTGTCAAGTTTTTGTCAGATTCATTAAATAGGCCTCTCATGGTGCACTCCGCCTTCTCTCTAAACATTTGAAACGGAAGCACAGCAAAACTTCCCGACTTATCTGTTTGCAACAACTGTAAAGATTTTTCTTTCAACTCTCTCTCAACCACCCGGACCTCCCGAAAGTTTCTCTTTTCAATTGGATAATCGTCTTTCATTAGGTTTTCCATCCGGTCAAGTGCCTGATCAACAAAAGCAGGTCTTTCATCAACATCAATCGCCCTGGAGACCGTCTGGATATTCGAAAAAACATCAAGGCGCGATGGCTTGACATTGACACAAAACTTAGGACCCTTCATCAACAGCGTTTTTGCACGTTCCGATAACACAGCCTCACATGGATTGACAATCCGATGTTCCGCTGCGCTGCCCTGGCCAATGTTGCTCTTCTTGGGGGCGAATCCCGTGTTCGATTTGCGTGCACCTATGCCTTCAAGTACAAGCCTTCTTTTCACGTACCAGAGTCTCTCGAAGTCAATCCGCCTGAGTCCAGTCCAATCTTTGTAGTCCTTCGCCTTTCTGAAGTCCTGTCCCAGGACGTTGCCCCACAACTGGTCACACACAACTCGGATGTTGCCAATTATGTCGCTTGTGCAGTTCCTGTAAGCCCTGAGCAGCCTTTTCTTGTATCTCCACGGGATGCCGGTCGACGAAAGGTGTCCAAACATAGTCGGGTCTACATGCTTCTTTCTTAGGCAGATCCCGAAGAAACACACATCTGCTTCTAATTCAGCCAAACGATGGCCCAACTTGCACAAAGTCAGCAACGTTTGCACATACACTGCCACTGGTGACGAGTGCCACAACTGGGTCGAAGAAAATGGGACGATGCCTGCCTCAGGAACAAGTAATGAAGCAATGGTGAGGGTGCAGGCTAGCTGGTGTAAATTGAGCATAGTTGTAACCCGAGACTGGGGATATGGACAAGGGACAAAACACAGAACGACAGGGACGAAGTCTCAAACGCAGCTACAAACTTTATTTCACAGGACAAACATATATGTCACTCGCCACCCTCGTCCCCCTCTTTTTCCCTTCCTTTTCCCAAAACTCCACCCCTTCCCTCCTCCCCTTCCCAAGCCCCCGTACATTCCAGTCAAAAACAATTTTGATGGCGCCAACTCCAAGTTGCCGACAGATCCCGTGTCAACAGCCCACACCGCGACATCCCGAGGTCACTCCGGCTCTCCCAAACACAGTCGCAAAGACGCCGACAGAACCCTTGTCCCCCCACACACACCGTGAAACCCCGAGGTTTTACGTATTTTAGAGTATTACTTGCAATCAACAGTGGTTGAGTACAGTGGACGAAAATATATTCAAAAAGAGGGGGTATGTATCGGGTCAGCGGTGGCGCCGATTCTGTCGGAGATTTATTTAAACAGTCTAGATTCCAGTGTGTTGAGTTTTCTAGGAGGAACGCCAGAGAACGTAGGTTTTGTCCGACGTTACGTCGATGATATTTTAGTGTGTACGGCAGAAGAAAAGCTGGGAAGAGATTTGGAAAGAATAGTCAGGAAGTCCGCACCAGAATTGGAATTTACGCTAGAAAGAGAGAAAGCTGGGAGCTTGCAGTTTCTGGATTTGCAGATTCACGTGAAAAATGGTATATGCTGGGAGTACGGAAAACTCATGCCGAAACCTATCCTGCCGCGCTCGAGTTGCCACTCCAGGACAGTTAAATGCGGCATTATTAGATCATTATTAGGCAATGCCTTAAACCGATCTTGCACACACTACGTTAGTAAGGCAGTGGAGAAGCAGATGTGTCGACTGAGGAATGCTGGGTTTTCGGGTGATAGCATAATTGGACAGATAAAAAAGATAGTTTCGGGAAATAAAGGAAGTCTAGAGCCCCGGCGGGGTCGTTGGGCGGTCATCCCGTACCACCATGACATCTCACACAACTTAAAGGCGTGCGCAAAGAAGTTCGGCGCCGACGTAGTTTTTGAGAGGGATTTCAGATTGGACCGGTTGACCCCATTTTTGAGAACACCCAACCAGTGTAAAAGGGCGCACAGAGAGAAGTCTACAGTATGCGCGATCGGTGTAGTGTACGAGATACCAATGAAATGTGGTGTCATTTATGTAGGTCAAACCAAAAGATGTGTGAATGACAGATTATCGGAACATAAAAGAAATGTAAAAAACAATGATACGAATTCGGAAATAGCTAAACATTTGAATGAATGTGCCGACTGCACTCCAGCCTGGGGAGACGTAAAGATTGTAGAAAAAGAAAACAACGACATGAAAAGATTAGTGAGAGAGACCATTAGAATAAAGACGTCTCCCGAATGCATCAGTCACACGTCCGTCCACTTAAGTTCGGAAGCCGAAAAATTTTTGCGGCTGACTGGTTTGAGAGAACCGGGTTGACCTCGGGGTTTCACGGTGTGTGTGGGGGGACAAGGGTTCTGTCGGCGTCTTTGCGACTGTGTTTGGGAGAGCCGGAGTGACCTCGGGATGTCGCGGTGTGGGCTGTTGACACGGGATCTGTCGGCAACTTGGAGTTGGCGCCATCAAAATTGTTTTTGACTGGAATGTACGGGGGCTTGGGAAGGGGAGGAGGGAAGGGGTGGAGTTTTGGGAAAAGGAAGGGAAAAAGAGGGGGACGAGGGTGGCGAGTGACATATATGTTTGTCCTGTGAAATAAAGTTTGTAGCTGCGTTTGAGACTTCGTCCCTGTCGTTCTGTGTTTTGTCCCTTGTCCGTATCCCCAGTCTCGGGTTACAACTATGCCCAAAACTTTAGTTCGACGAACAGCGCACTGACGTCGATCTCGTGGTACCAACTTTCACGAAAGGTTTGATAGCCGTGTAGTATAATTTATTAAAATAACTAATGTGTTACTAACTACATAAAAGAAAATCGTAGTTTTCTTGGCCTCACCGCAAAACCTGTGTTTTCTTTCTGTGGTCTTTGATACGTACTCTAGCTATTTAATACGCTACATCACACCGTTATCAAGCCATTCGTCAAATTTGGTGCCGTCTCTTTGACTATAGGGCGCGGTACGTCGAATTGAAGTTTTGGAGTGCATTATATGGGACAAAAGGGAATAAAGTAGTACCCTTTCTTTCTTTCTTTTTTTTTTTTTGAGAGAGAGTGCGTAGTTTTACGTGCATGTGACACGGAAGGTTTTGATTTAAATTGTACATACTGAGACGAAGAGCATGTTAATAAAATGTTGTCGGTTATGAAGTACGTTGCTCGCTCGCAGTCGCCGCGCTTGAAATCGCCCAGCTCGCTGTAGGAAGTTGTCCCCTTGAGCGCTGGAGGCGGTACTGGTTTAGTGGACACAGACTGGTAGTCGAAAACGTTGTTGCCAATTTTGTTTTGATTGAGACCATCTCGGTTAAGATTCTGGCTTGTTTGGCTTTGAGCAAGGCTGGAAAGATCAACGTGTTAATAAAGAAGGCGTAGACTGCCAACGGTATATGCTAGGTAGATACGGGAAGCGCATTGTGGACAATACACAGAGAAAGAATAAAACATTTAAAGGTGACGGGCTCACATTTGAAAGAATGGTTAAAGCGGACGAGAAGCACCATTTTTCTAAATAATGGTGTATGTCTATGTTTGTCTCCTTAAATGTTTTATTTTATCTTTCTTTGTGCCAATGGCATACTGCAATTTGCACCTAGCTAGTCCTTGCGTGGGTTCAAGAGCTTCGGCAGCCTTGTCACTGTCGCCCTATACACCTTTGCATTAGTGCGAGAAAAAAAAGCCGAGTCATTGGGCTCTGGGCACAAGTACATCGTCTGGAATGTCACAGCAGAAAGTTACTGCACATGCTCAAAAAGCATTTCACAGCCCACTAAACCAAGATGGCGGCGGGTATAAGGTGATTATATTGGAATGGTTTACAACACACGTTGCGCACCGAACAGAGGGCATCGGATGAACCTCGTAGCGGTCTCGGTGGTCCCGACGCGAAGTGCCTGCCTACGGATCCTTAGGTGGCGGGTTTAAATCCCGGCCTAGGTGGCCTCAGCATGATGGAGTCTTATTTTGGAGAAGGCGCCATCTAAAGGAGCTTCCCATTGCACGCAAAAGGTCTCCCGGTGGTCCAAATTAATGCTGAGTCCTCCGCTGAGGCGTGCCAGATACTCTTCGTTGGTTTGGCACGTAATACTCCCGGATTTGATTTTTGACGCACACCGTGTCCAACCTCCCCATTGTGCATAACATAACTTCGAGGAAAAAGAACAACATTCAAAATGGTTATGTATGTGTACACCCGTGTATACCAAACTACAAAATAAGTGGAGTTGCGCTTGGGCCAGAAAAACAAACAAAAATATCTCCTGCTTTGCAAACGACGAGTTGTAGTCTATATATACTTAATTCAGTAAACGGCGGTGGCTGCAGCGAAAGACCGAGCAATGGTAACTCTAAACACATTTTTCATTCATCTGAGCGACAGTGAGAAAGAATGTACAAGCCCCCAAAGTCTGCTCACTTGACCGTGCCCTGCAGGTATCTCGAAGGTCATTCCAGCTTGAACATTAATACAGAGAACCCACATAAGACGGCCTGACATTCGACTTTCTTTCGGTATCCTTTATTTTGGTGCAACTAACATGCTCCCAGTAGATACAACATAAACATTGATTCTGTCCTCGTTGTCGGAAAGAGTGCGTAGAAACATGGTCTCCGGTTAACCTGTAACTAACGACCTACTGTTGACACGCGCTCTAATACAGGCTGACAAGGCACAAGTGAATGATGATGTGCCTCCAGGCTTCATCACGCTCATGGCGGCGTGCAGTCGCTAGAGGGAACGACGTAGCTCTCGGCAAACTCCAGCGTGTCGTTGTGAACCTGGTGATCGGAACCGAGAAGTTCGTTCAGCCTGTCGTAGTTGTAGTCGGCACAGAGTCCACACAGGCTGCCACGATAGAAGCTGGCGGTCTGAAATGAAGCAACAGCGCCTATTACCTTCCGACAATGCGATAGGGGGAGGTATTCCCACAAATCGAGCGCAACTTTATGATGTTGCTTATTGCCACTCTGGCCGGCGATGGTTATTCTTGCGAAATATTGAGCAGAACGTACGTTACTTGAAACTCCCCTACCTAGTTTGCACCTTTCGAGCCAGATATTATTTAATAGATCCAAGATAAAAAAAAATAACAGAAACTCTTACAAAAAAAGAAAAAAAAAAGCCATAGGTTTGTTGTTAGCATTCACTCAATAGCTGAATGCTATCAGCATCACCCATGGGCGATCCACCTTTAACGTTCTTGTCTGTTTTTAGCAGCGGATTCTAAAGGAAAGAGGCCACGGAGAAAAGATCCTAAGTCCTTTGATTTTGTAGTTTTTAGAGTGCGCAAGGCCCCAGGGAGCACCTGGGGTCTTGTTAAGTCAGAAAAAAAAGACCCACAACGAGACCCCAGGTGGCCCCTACATGCATAAAATTTCGCACAATTTGAAAAAGGTGGCTGGGCGGTTTGACGTCCCCATTGTTTTTTCGGCATCTCGAAAGTTTCCGCAACTCTGTCCTAGAATTGCGGAAAAGGCTGAGGGAAGAGCCAATGTGCCGTAAAGCACAAGAACAAGTACACTTGTTGATTGTGTGGTTGGTGTTGTATACAAGATCCCACTAAGCTACGGAAGAGTGCACATCGGCCAAACTGGCCGATGCATTAATGACAGGGCACGTGAACATGACTGGTCACTCCGGTCGACCACTGGGGATCACTTGCCTCTGCATTGTTGTGCCTGTAAATACCAGCCCAAATTCAACATCACCATCATCGGGTGGGCACAGATAAACCTACCAGAGAATCATTGGAAGCGCATGCAATAACAAAACATGGGAAAGATGCATGCGTCAGCCAATCATCTGTTTTTCTTCAGAAAAAAGAAATTACTTATGAAAATTGCTGAAGCGATAATGCGGTTTACATCGTTGGTATTTTTATTTTTTTTAAATAAATGTTTAGTTGTGAGTTTAGCGCTTGTGTCGTTCGCATCCTCCTTTCGTCCTTGTCTATTTTTGCGCGCTGTTTATTTCCGTCTACCATGAACCAAATCGCCTACATCACGACACTAATCCATTCAATAGGCGCGTTCAATTTAGAAGTACAGAAATAGCGTGGTTCCGGTGTAGGAATGGTGCGGCAGGTGTGCCACTGGTGCAGTGCCGCTGCACTAGCGCCGCCAATTGACTAAAAATGTGCACTTCCTCCTCGCGCCTACACTGCCAAAACGAGCTATTGCAGAAAGTGTACGCCAGGCGTAAAAATGGCGCTACACTTTCGTAAATCGAACAGCGCGGCGCAAACTCTCTTTGCTGCATCCTTAAATCGAATGCGCTCGGGGTTACACTTCTGCACCGGTGCAGGCGGTGTAGGCTTAGTCGGGCGATCGTTGACGCGGTCGAGTGTGATGCGTTTTCCCCTCTGTGTTCTGTGTTCAATGTTTTTTTTTTTTTTTTTGGGGGGGGGGAGGGAGTTTTTTTATGTTTTTGCTGTTTTTGTGTAAATTGCTTAAGCTATAACCAAATTACAAAAAGAAACACAAAATCTAATACGCCCCTTCCCCTAACCGACACCCCCCTCGCCCCCCCCCCCCCCCCCTTTTCCCCAATATTAAAAAAATGAAAGAAAAAGAAACTCCGTAAACGCGGAAGCCTTGTTAAATTCGCTGAGAGCTTAATAACAGCAGGGTGTGGCTTATGTTCATACTTTGTTCTTATTGAACAACGAAGCAGTCTCATTGGTTGCAAAGTGATAATAAATTTCTTGGAGTTGGCCACCCTAGGGGTTTCTTGAACTCTGAGTCGCTCATTCAGCCCACGACTAAAGAGTACGTTTCTCACCTGAACAGTGAGTACCTTTCCGTCGAATCCGACGCTGAGGCCGTAGGAGCTCGATTCGATCAGGTAGAATTTGCTTTTCAGCTTGATCTTGAAAAGCTCTGCGCCGTGGCTCATGTGGCTGTAAGGCACTGCCAGCGGTACTTCGACCCTGCTGCCGTCCACACGAACCACGAGTCCGGCGTCCGCGGCTATCTGGAGGATCTCGATCTTGGTGTTGTGAATGAACATCTTGAGCGCCTGCAAGTGGCAGCGAATAACTTGTAACGGCCAATAAAAGAAAAACAAAAAGTCCCGTCAATATGAGAGAAAGAATGAAAGAGAGGCAGAAGTCAAGCCGCGGTAATTTTACAAAGGACAGGGACCCTCGTAATAAGGGGGGACATCTTAAAAGGAACTACGTTCTGATGTTTTTGGCGGATTTGTGTCTAAAACTTCAGTGACTCCGCTATAAATAAAATAAAGAAATAGATAAATATTGTTACTCTGATTACCACCAGCGGGTGCTAAAACAAATATACCTTGAACGGTAGAATGACATCAATATATCATCCAGATCTTCCAGAGTCCAAAAATATATTTTATCTAACATAGTAGTATCCAATAATTATGGAGCTATTAAATACAAAAAAGTGTGAAATTTTTTCTGTAAAGGTTTGAATAGCTGGAGTCTGGCCTGCCCAAAAATGGCGTTTGGCGTTTCTGTTAGCAAGTAGAGTGCCGCTGCCAGAAATGGATTTTTAAAGAGTAAGAGCGGTCGCCCCCCGCCCTTTCTCGAGGTACTCAAGGGCAGCTTTTTCTTGTTTTATTTAAAAACCCAACAACAACAAGCATTTTATGATTTAAAAAAAAGAAAATTTCCTTTTTAGGTGAAATGGCAATTATTACGTCAACAAAATATATCTGGACGATGACTCACCCCCGACGTTAGATCCGTCTCATTGCAGAACGTACGTCTCTTTGAAGAAACTCCCCCCTCCCCCTTCCCTTCCCTCCAGACCCTGACCCATACATCCGACCCTGATGGCTGCTCACCTGGGGTGTTTCGCCTACTTCACAGCAGTTACGATGTCAAGGTCTCACGCCGGTGAACATACCTGTGGCGATACACAGACAGGCTGCATACCTTGGGGAGAGCTGGGTTGCCGGTAGAGCGGGCCAGGATAAGGAACCGCTTGTTGTCCGGCGTGCAGTCTCTGGAGATCACCTTGAAGCAGTTCGTTTCCGGAAGCTGGACGATGATGCCGTCAAAGGTCCTGACGCTGGACCCCTGAAGGTCGCAGTACTCTGCAAGCATACACCAGAAAGCGGTTTGTAGACGATGGGTTATCTAAAGAAAACAACCGGTGGGGGACGCTTAGAACTACGAGTTGTGCAGACAGTGGTTCCAAGAGTATGCGGCGATAAGGTCTACTTAAACGCATCCCTCCGCGCATGAAAGAGGGCGACTGACGTCGTCCACAGGCCTTGCCTTTTAGGTGGTATATCCTCAGCAGACTCCGACTTTGCTCCGAATCTCACTCGAATGAATCTTGTATCGTTGAACATATTGCTACCACTTGAAAATAAAATATCTCAGTTAAAGCGCTTTGACACAAAAGGATCGAGACTAGACCGATATCACCAAGCGTTCAGCGCATGGGTGACGCCGACGTAACTTTAGTTCGCAGGAGGCAGGCGGCCGTGCACGAGATAGCTTGTTCCGTCTGATGCTCTGCACGCGCTGAGCTCCAGCGCGATCATAGCAGGTGCAAAAAGACTAAAGTTCCCTGGATGCATCAGGGCCGCGGTGGCGCAGCCAAACTGCCTGGTTGAGGTCGATCTGTTCCCTACCCCTCAAATCATAGGGTCGGTTCAAAGAGGCGAACTGAACCGAGTCAGCACAGAAAAACGAAGGTTTGGAACATAATGCAAACTTCGAGTTTTTGTGGGATTTGTAGGGCCAGATGAACGGTCGCATAATTTATGTGTTTTTCCTTTTACGAATTGGTATAATGAGGTACATTTCCGATCTCATTTTCGAGATAGGGTATGAGAATCGTACTTCATGGAGCAAGGCATAAATAAGGGAAGAATTCCAGGCACAGTAACTCAATGTTTCATTTTGCAAGTTGCACCTATAATACAGCCCTTGACAAGTACAGCACTATAAAATGAGAAGGAGACGCCGCAAGCTACCCGACGTTGCTCCACAGCCTCAGCTGCTTCGTCTTTCGTACAGAAACCACCAGAACGACCTCGCTTTTATAAGCCCGCAGGAACAGTCACTCGCATCAATATCCCCCATAGTCGGTGACAGGTGAAGTGTTCATAAGAAGCTGCTCCCACGTCCTTAAGCTTTAGCAACGCTGGAAAGAAGCTGACGTTCCCTTCACTGTATACGGAGCGCAAGTTCGTCTACTTCTCGCAAAGAGGTTGCGATCATGTAGGAACGCCGAGCTCTTATCGGCTGATTGAAAAAAATAAAAAAAAATAGTGGGTAGACCTTGAGGCACCTAGCGTTGAGGTGTACCCACTATCCTTTCACTCAAAGCCAATCAGAGCTCGAAGTCGTTCTGACGTCATCGCGACTCCCACGCAAGAAGCAGACAACTTTCTCTCCGCATATGGTGTCGGAACGCTATCGCCGGCTACAGCGATCACGCGCAGAAATCATGCGCAGGGTTAAGACATTATCAATCTGTGTGATTAATCTAGCCGATAATAGCTGAAGCGCACCAAGACACTAAGCGCCGTGACAACGCACTTCTGACGCCCTTCGATAGACTCCATTGGTTCGTATACGTCGGGTGAGGTCGGGCTTGAAGTAAACGTTACAGGAGGACACTTAAGCTTCGCCTTTAAGATTGGAACGCGACAGCTAAATATAAACCCCCGCTCGTTCTCGAGCCTTGCAAGCGTGTCTGCATGGCCTAATCGTTAGCGTGTTTGGCTCACCACCGAAGCTCGGGTTCCATCTCGCCACGCCTAAAGTCCTTCACATTTTTTCTTTAAGGTAAATGAATTACTTATCGACCAATCGGGATTTTCCCGTCCCGCGGACGCCGGCGTTTCTGCGACGCGAGTTCCTTAAAGCTATCGCTTTAAAACGGAGTATAGTAGTTGAATTTCGCGGCTCCTACTCCAGACTGGTTTTTACTCCAGACGCTATCGTCGACGAATTTAGCTCTCAGATGTCCGACGCCCGATCCGGATTGTTAGTACCGCCTGAACATCTCCTGAGGACGCCTCTGCGGTGGTGCTCACGTCACCTCGCCGCATATCGCTCCACGAAGATACCCGTCAGTATTCTCCGGGTTTGTTTGCCTCTGGATGCTATAGGGTCATCATAAGCTTAGGAAACCCGCGACTTTTCACGTCTCTCGCTTCGTCATTGGTTCTTCGCCATTATTACCGGCTAATGCTGCAATCTCATTGGCTGCGGAGCAATAATGGATGCCCTGGATTCAGCAGGCCCTGCGTCTCTTAAGCTGTGCAATGGCCGTAAAAAGTGAATACGAAACCGAGATCGGGATGACGTTAGATTAATTCTTGAGTATAAAAAATTGGCTGCGCGTTAGAATCGGGTAAATACGGCTGATATGCACAGCGCCTCCTTTTTTGTGTTTGTCAGACGGGCGGACCGTACTCACTCTGTTTGTAGTACGCCGTGTACTCGGCGATGTTGGTGTAACCGAACGCCACGAAGACCCTCGGCTCCAGAATGTGAGAATAGAGCGGCACGTGGGGATGGAAGAAGTGATGTCCGTCTGACGTGGACACCAGCACGTCGGCGCATTTGTGGCGCGGCGGGACTTGGGACACGACGCGCAGCTTTCCGGTGGGACCGTCCATGTGCTCCCCGATGACTTCGAAGAAGCCCACGTGGTCCTCGGAATGCGAGTGATACTCGGTCAGGTGAGAATACAGGCCGGGAAGGAGCTGGAACGAGACAGACGAACGAAGGTGACTTTCAAGTCGATGCTACGGTACCATAAGCTTTGTTTCGAAGCTCTCGAGTTACTTTTCTTAAAACTTGAGATCTGTTATATGGCTAACGCCCATGTTCCCTGAGAGAGGGAGAATGGCAGAAGGTATTTCCGTTGTTCCGCTTCCAGTTCAACGTCCCTGCTTTCGATGGTACTTCGGCCTTTTGTGAGCCTCCAGCGCACACGTCGCCAAAACATGGCGGAACGTGACAAACCCTCGCTGGAGGTCAGGCATTCGAAAGAGATTCCCCGCTGTTTTCATTCTTTTTGTAACGCACTTCTGTTACAGAGGAGCGTTCCGCGGAGCGCAGATTGAACACGTGTGTGCTGCGTTCAACTGGAATCCTGACGGATCGGACACGAATCGCAGCCAAGCGCCGAGGCAGCACTTGTATCCGTTTATGTCCTGCGCTGGTCTCCGGTCTTTGCCGGTCAAGATCCAGCAGTGCGGCCCTGTTACCTAGACGTTTTTGAAGAAGTGAACGAGGACGCGCTTCGGTGTAAACGGGGAGACGCAAAAAAGTAGGGCTAAAAGGGCGGAGTGTGCGACCGCCCTTTTTAGACGTCAACTTCACGTTTTTAGTGCGAAAGCATTAACTGTTCCACGGAGCGAAGCCGGCGTTGTCTATGGCAGTGAAAAACGGCAGCTAACGTCCCATTGGTCGAGTGTAACGGCAGCTAAATTCCCATTGGCTGAGCGAAACGGCACGTAAATTCACGACACCAAGCACGCGCCTCGGAAACTGAACTCAAAGAAAAGCACAGCAACGCAGATGCTTCGTCACGGAAGCCGTCGTGAAGCCGGCGGCGTTCATCGCGTGTGCGCAGTGGGGGAGTGTGATGTCACCGCCGGAGCGCCGCGTGAAATAGGGAAGACGTTGCACAATGCTTGTAGGAATGCGCTGCGCGTAGGAATTCTTTCGCATTCTTACACGTAAGCTGTCTTAAGTGTCTATGCCGAATTTTTGTCTTGTTAGAGCGCTAGACTTTTCGGGGTTTCCTTCAAAGACGCCACACGCACGACGATGTTCGCGCCGTCAAGGCACAACATGCGTATACCAAGTCCGTCTGCGCGGCATCACCGCGAAACAACACGCAGCATAGAGCCATCTGTGGCCAAACACTAACCGCGGAGGCCTGCAGCGTTTGCGGTTAGTTTATTTTATGGGTGAGCAGAACGATGAATATCCACACAAATTACTCGCCGTTTTCCCAACTTTGGAGGGACTATGTTACAACGAGCTCCGCACTGTTCGCTCATGGTCACGTGGTCTATAGACCGCGTTTGCAATACAAACTGCGAGGAAATGACGGAAGCGTTGGTCGTCTGCAAGCGTCTCAGTCGTTCCGCCTGCTTTCCTCCTCGCCACGCACGCGATAACACAGCGCGTGCGCACTTGCTACCAACCTCCGCAGGAGGTGTCGGCCAATGATTCGCAAGAGGTTGGGCCCTCTCTTCGATCTCGGCTCTCTACCCAGCTCCGAAGGAGGCGGAGTCACCGATCGTCAAAGACCTGACTCCTAGAAACGGGGTGCTCGCACTCGTCCAAATATACGGCCTAAACGACAGCGGCCTGGCGGCGAACGTGCGAAGTGGAGGAATGGGGATTAAGAGCACTTTGTTAGAGCAGCAACTACACGATGTCAAGGAGACGCGTCAACACTCACAGGTTTGAGTTTTTTGTACTCGACGTCCATGGTAAGCTTGCCAAGACGGCTCGAGTAGTACATGTACTTGACGCAGTAGTAATTGAGCGGGATTCCTAGCTTCTGGTGGTGGACGCACTTGGAGTACATGTCGCGCAGGTAGAACGGCCGGAGGCGGTTGGGGCTCCGGGGCTTTGCTTCGGCGTTTTCTCGTATCTGCTGTGCGTCGTCGTCGGTGTGCGTGAACTTGCCGTTGAAGGTAATCTGCCGGCAATCAGAAACAGCAACAAAAATAACATTATTTTGACCGGTATATGAAGATGCTTGAGCGCGCTATGATCTATTAGAGCAGAAATCTTAGTGTCTATGCACTCTTTCGAACCGCTCATTCCCACTGGAAGCGGATCCGCGTTCGCAAAGCGATTGCGAACGCGGTTGTATAAAGATCCAGTACAATTGCACGCGCACTCGATGACATCGAGTGCGCGTGCAATTGCACTGGGTCTTTATACAACCGCGTTCGCAACCGCTTTGCGAACACGGATCCGCTCCCAGTGGGAATGACCGGTAAGTGAGTGTGGCCAACCTGTCCAGGGATGGGTTGTGATATCCCGGTACAAGGGGTAAAGCCATCATAATTCAATCTATCGTTGTTGTTTCTCCTTTGCATTATGTTCTCTTTCTCTTGTGCGAATATTTTTACTTTTATCTGCTGTTGAATTTATTTGTGTGAGTACTCTCCCTTTTGCTTCTTGTTGAGAAGCCATGTAATGCCGGCATTAGGGCGGAAGGTCTGACTCTGGACAGGGTGAATAAACTAACTAATTTATTATGTGCCTCATATATTCAACAGCATGTTAGAATTCCTATTTGCTGCCACATCATCACATCAAGACAAAAACTTTTAAAAAAATGCACTACGAATTTTTTTTTTTTATGCCAAATAGTTCTGTGGAAACAAACTTAATCGCGTTTACGGAATTTGTGGGTGCCAAACTAGGGTCGAAGCAGCAGGTCGACGCAATTTACCTTGATTTTAAAAAAGCATTTGACCTAGTGAGCCATTCACTGCTAGTTAAAAAACTTGCGTCCTATGGTATCTCCTTACCACTTTGCGAATGGATTCAGAGCTATCTGCATGACAGATGGAATTCTGTTTCATACGGTGGTGCACAATCAACCGCGTACCTCTTCAAGTCGGGAGTCCCGCAGGGTTCTAGCCTATCGCCTCTGCTTTTCAACATCTTCGTGAACGATATTTGCTCATGCATAAATCACTCGGAAATGTTACAATTCGCTGATGACGTTAAGCCTTTTCGAGCTATTGTTGTCTTTTCTGAGTGCAATAAACTACAGCAAGATATTACAGCATTGGCAGACTGGTGCAAGGACAACAAGTTGGTTCTCAACCCGGCTAAAAGAAAAGTTATATCTTTTTCGAGAAAACATTTTTTTAACACCTTTGACTACACTTTGAACAAGTGCTCGATTGAGCGCGTTTCAGTTGTACGTGATCGAGAAGTTTTCTTGGACAGTGAATTTAAATTCTCTGATCATCTGGCATACTTGAGCAATACATGTTACCGTACTTTGGGCGCGATTACCAGAATGACTCGAAACTTTAGGGGATATTCTTGCTTTTTGCATTTGTACCGATCCCTCATCCTGTCTAAACTGGATTTCTCCAGCGTTGTTTGGAATCGTTTAAACCAGACAAACTCGAATGAACTTGAAAATGTACAGAAGAAGTTTGTTCGGCTACTTTACGATCGTTATTTTAACAGGCGAATTTATTTCAGCCATGAGCGATTGTTGAAGATTTTAAACCTGCATTGCCTCTCCGAAAGGAGGCAGGCACGAGACTTTTTATTTTTACACAAATGTCTTCACGGTTTCATAGATTGCCCCAAGCTAACCTCATCCGTATTCATTGCTGTACCTGGAAGGTCTCTTCGCTCCCATCGTGTTTTCGGTTCCTCTGAGCCAAAAAGCTTAAGACCCATTGAGCGTATCCAGTATAATTTTAACATGTCAAGTGTCGCAAACACGCCCGAAGTAGACATCTTTTTGCGGGAAAGTTTTAGTATGCGGTCTCTGCTAGTGCTTTTATAATGTGACGCTCTCTTGTATCAGTCTTTTTAGCAAACAGTGTTGTTTTCAACTTTATGCACTTTTCTCATTTACATTTATATTTCACGTTTTCGTTTCTTCAAATTATACGTGCGTTTGCGTGCATCTTTTTTATGCAAAACTGCATGTAAGTGTCAACGGTGCACCCCTATGTAGGCCTACGGGCTGTTTAGGGGCACCGGAAAAGTACAATAAATAAATAGACCAGTAAACTTAGATTGCTAGATGTTGGATACTTTATTCCCTCTGATTCTTGATTCTTTTTTTTTTAGGACAGTGCATTTTGTTCGTCAGTGTAATGTCGTATTTCGTTCTTCTTTTATTAATCCCTGCATACTTTTTTTAATGAGTGATTTCGGTGGGGAACGAACCTTTTATACTCATATTAGACATAGTGATTTGCTACGCACTGTGCCCAGCCAGGTACACAAGCCCTTAGGGCTTACACCGGCTCATCATTGTACTTTTTGAAAATGTATGCATTGGAAATAAAACTATTTTATTTCATTCTACCTATGAAAAGAAAAAAAAATATTTTCTGATTAAGTTTGAAGTTGGTTTACACCAACAAGTAAACTACAGGAATCTTATCCAATGCTAGCAGTATTGGCGGCCGGGAAAGCATGCTTCACTTCGTCAGACTTATAATCATGTAAAAAGCATAAAACAGACACCCGGAGTGGTATTTTTAGGAAAAGAATTTGAAGTTTCGGAGTTTGGGTGACCTCACGCGGGTCTGTGAGACTTACGCTGGACTGGCCTTCGCAGTTTGTGCCGTAGCGAATGTTCAGACTGCAGTCGATCTCTTTGCCTTCGTGGAACGTGGCGAGGTTTTTGAGCCTCGACCATTCAGGTGCCGGAAACTTCAGGGTGCTATCCAAGCAGATCTGCGAAAGCCGAACCTTTAAAGCAACGAATTTCTTCTAACGCTGACGTGTACACCGTCGAAACAGTTTGAGCGAACACTAGACAAGCTCAACACTTTAAATGTTAGCTTAGACTACGCAATAACCGTTTTTCTCACATTAGCGAGTTTTAGTAGACCGTGTTTTCCGCTACGCTCAGCCCCTCCGCTACCCGGAACTCTACAGTCAAGGCCATCGGCGCGGAGGCGCAGTGGCGGTTTCTTCGTAGCGGAGGGCTAGCGGAGGGGGAAATGCGGTCTGCTAAAACTCCCTATTAGTAGTTTTAATAACAAAGTACACTCTAAGAAATGCCTCCGCGTCTACTTACCCGCAAAACACTCAAAGAGCCAATCTCTGCGATCTAGGAAATCAGCACAGTGAATGATGAGGAGGAACATCCGTTTAGACCTAAAAATGAAGTCGGCGCTGTGGCATTACGCAATGCAAAGCGTCATGCTTGCATTGCGCAACGCCACAACGCAGGCTTAAGTTTGAGGTCTGAACAGATGTTCCATCTCATCAATCGCTGAGCTGTTTCGTAGATCGCAGAGATTGGCTCTTCGAGTGTTTTGCGGGAAAGTAGACGCGCAGGCATTTCTTAGAGTGTAAATTCTTGAAACAAACATTCTTGAAACAAACGAAGAACAGCGATCGCATGTTTGTTTTAAATCAGTCGCTCTTTAGACAGGCTGTTTTCGACCAGGCGGATTATCTGCCTGGTTTCCTCTTCTCCTAAATTGCGAGGCTAACGAGGGAGAGACAGATGGAAGTATCAGAGTAGGGAAAGAGAAGGGGATACAACAAATGGTGGATTAGCTTCATGGGTGAACCAAGTAGAAGATGGGCAAATATTTTACTAGGGGAAACAGTCCGTGAAAATACAATAGCTTCGACGTAAGCAGGATTTCTGTAGTCCGAAGGGCTGGATCCGCCGCCGTTTCCAGGGCTGTCCCTTTTGAACCGGGAGGGGTGACTGGCGCCATCTGTCGTCGTGGCCAACCAGAGCGCCTGTCGAGTTAGCTGTCCAGGCTGTCTCGGGGAGTCGGTAACACGACGGAACAGCGCGACGCGCGTGCGTACTTGGACTCGGGGCGTCCACGCAGCTAGGAGAGGTTTTGGTGCTCTAGGCGCGCTATTTAATGGAAGTGAGCAGAGTGAAATTTGTTTTTTTATAGTCTGTTGTACGTTAAAGAAGTGCAGCACAAGCGCCTTCCACAAAGCCTTCAACCCTTTAGCAGAGCGAACTTGAGGGGGGGAAAGCCACCAATCACGACGAGCGAAGAGCTTTGTGGGAGTGGCTTGCCCCGCTCTTCTTACCTGCAGCATACCATAGCGAGGTATTTGGGACGGGTTAAAGGCTGGGAGGAGAGTGCGCGATCGAAAGCGGGAATTTGACGCTTCGTGTCGATTGTTTTGGTGGCCAAATGAATTTTAACGTACCTTGATGTGTTCTTTCTTCTGCTGGGACGTTGCCCTGTCGTAGAAGAACTGCATCTTGTGCTTGAAGGTGTCGCTAGTGTAGGAATATCTCAGCTCGGTGGCGATCTTGCGGTCTTTTTTCCCTCCCCTGAAGTTGAGTTCGGCGTTGAGGACGTGGGTCGAGGGAGACTCCGTGTCGCCGTCGATGGCGTCGTGGACCGGGAACTTGCTTTCCCTCGCGTCTTCGGGCTTCAGGAACTTGTGACTGAGGTCGAGTTCAATCTGCATATTTCCGCCCAAGAAGTCGTTGAGACGCTATACTTTTCTTGCACCCTAACTGCAAGTGGAGCAGGAGTCCCAAGCCAGCTGTCCCACTGCCGATACCTCATCCAAAATACACTCTGTTGGCTGCAGACGCGATGCCAGAATTATCCGCCCTCACGCCTCAAGCATCTTTGAAGCCTGTTTACTTTTTACGCGTGCACGCATAAAACATGTCTGCACACAGTTTTCGTACGACCGTCACACTAGGAAAGAAACCATATGTCTCTCAGGCAGTGTCTGCTTATTGTCCTTTGTATGGCGTATGAGCAGAGTGACTGGGGATTCAGGAACGCGAAATGAGCAAGGACTCGAAAGGTCTCACCGTCGTAGGGAAGTTCTTTTCGGCTTCAACGAGGGTCAGCCTGAGTTCCCGCGGGTGCCAGTGCGGGTTCATGGCGGCGTAGTAGAACTTCTGGCGCCAGTCCATCTCGTACCAGAACTTGTGCAGGCCCTCGCTCAGCCCCTTGGACAGCATGCTGCCTTCCACGTTCAGGCCGATAGGAAGAGAGTCGGTGCGGAACCCACGATCAATCTGTGATACGTTTAAAAACAGAAAAAGAGCAGTCCTGTGTAAGTTTATAGTACGGTCACAGCGAGAGCTCAGACACTTTATCGCAGTCTATTGTATCCTTATGTATCTTGAACGTACGCGTCTTGCACCTTACCCGGAGGAACTATCACCAATGTCTGCTTGGTGCGTGTCACACTTATTTATTGCATACACCCGAAGCCTTCTAATGAATGGGGTGTTATATAGCTGTTGGCAGTAACACGTTCTAAGTATAATGGCGTTACCGGTAACGTACTATTGGTCGCGTTACGTTTTACAGAACCGCAACGGATAACGTAATGACGTTACTATTTCGAGTAACGACTAACGTAGTTACGTTACTCGTTACGCCTTCTTCCAAAGACTTACCAAGTCATATGAAATTTTCATTTTATAGTTTTTGCCCCCTTTTTTCTAGCCTCCTGAGTGATGGAACCGCAAAACAATTAAGGTAATTATGTTAAGTTTCTTAACGGACATAACGTTTCTCGAAATATGGCGCTTACGCATACCTGCAACGTCAAAACCATTAAACATTTAATGCATAAATTAAAAATGACGCGAAAGTAACACGCGTTACATTGAATTAATAACGGTCATGCGTTTCTTTCATTTTAAGGTAACGTATGTCGGTAGCGCGTTCCTGTTATTTGCAGGCAACGAGTAACATATTTTGTTACTCGTATTGTTTGGTGTTTTTGGTACAGTGATCACTTCGCAATCGTAAGGGTCCTCGCTACTTATTTTGTAGCGAAGACACTTAGGTGGACGTGATTCGACGTCACTACAACTGCGACCATCTAGCGGGAGCTGCGGGAAACTGAAATGCGCAGCTAGCCTCAACACATCAATCAATCAATCAATCAATCATTTTATTTGCGTCTGTACACGTGTACAGGCACTGGAGGCATGAACAAAAAGCCAACAGATGTCGGCTTGACGAGGTTCACGCCCCCTTTTTTGGCAAACGGCAAGCAATCGAAAAATAAAAAAAAAGTCAGATACTTAAAAAAAAAAATCACGTAACAATAGTCAAAATACACGTTTAAAAATGGGCTATAGATTACAATGTCAAGGGAAAAAAATACACTCTATATGCTAAAATACAATTGTATGACAGAAATATTCATAGAAACATCAGTTTTAAGGAATGAGATGTTAAATGTTCGATGATAATGTTATTTTCAATTAAATGGTTTAGTAAAAAAGGAAGGCGATGTTTTAGCATTTGAGTTCCATAGGTTGTTCGACTGAATGGTATCTTCCATACTTCTTCGTGACGTATGTTATAAGGTCTAATATTTATTGTTAATTCTGCTATGTTACTAATGTCAGGCGTGTTTTGTTTAATACTTGCTATATATCGAATAAGTAAAGTGTATTCGTACAGTTTGTTTAAGGATAGGACGTTTAATGATTTAAGCAATGGTTTCGTGTGGGTTGATTGTGGTACATTGATTATAGCTCGGATTGCCTTCTTTTGAAGAATCGTTAACTTGTCCAAGTTAGTTGTAGTTGATGTGCCCCAGATCAAGTGACAATAATTCAAATGCGACATGAATAAAGAATTGTAAATGAGATCGAAGCTTAATTTTGACTGGCAAACTTGAACGGAACTTGTTGAGAATGCCAACAACACTTGAAAATTTTTTATTACACTTTGAATGCGGGTGTTCCATGACATGTTTTCATTAAACATTACACCTAAGGTTTTTACATTCGGGACGACTTCAATGATAGAGGGGCCAAGTTTCAGGCGCAAGTCAATATTTACCAATTTATTATGTGGCTTAAAAATGATCGCTTTTGTTTTAGATGTATTAATTAGTAGAGCGTTTGCTTCACTCCATTTATGTAAATATTCCAGTGTGTTGTTAGTGGTTTCTGCAAGTGTGTCGATATTGTTAGCTGAAAAAAGTAGTGTTGTGTCATCAGCATAAATGATGAAAGTGGTGTTTGGGCTAATCGTTACAATGTCGTTTATATAAATGTTAAACAGAAGTGGGCCTAATATACCTCCTTGAGGGACACCTGTTTTTAACGCTTGAAAGTCTGAAGAATAGTTGTTTATAAAAACAGATTGTTTACGAAATTCTAAATACGATGTTAACAGGTTTAGGGTTAGTCCACGGAAACCATAAAACTGAAGTTTATTAATTAGGGTGGTATGATTTATGCGATCAAAGGCTTTAGAGAAATCAACAAAGACACCAAGAGTTAAAAGTTTTTGTTCGAATGATTTTAAAATGAATTCTTTTTGATTTAGTAGTGCGAGTTGAGTGGACCTATCCTTCCTGAAACCATATTGTGATGAGGTTATGAGCGAGAAACGGTCACAAAAAGAAGTCATACGACGATGAATAATTTTCTTTAGGCACTTCGAAAACACAGGAAGAATGGAAATTGGTCTGTAGTTTGAATGATCGTTTTTGTCTCCACCTTTGAAAATAACTATAACTTTCGCAATTTGCATTTTTTTAGGAAAGATTCCGGATGAAATTGAAATGTTGACAATATGGGTAATTATGGGTGTTAGTATGTCCAGTACATATTTAACAGGCTTGATTTGAATGTTGTCAATATCAGTACATTTGCTATTTTGAATTGTGTTAAACGTATGATAAACCTCATGTTCATCAGTGGGTGCGAGGAAAGCGCTGCTCTCATTCGGCGTTCCTAAGTAAATTGGTGCATCGCAGTTTTGTGTGCCTATAGGTTTGCAAAATAATTGTTAAATGAATCGGCTAGGGCCTTTTCTCGTAAACATGCGGTTTATTAGGCGGCGCAATGAACCTGCTGGCGTGGCTCTGGAGTAGAGTGATCCCTTTGCAATCAGCGAACCCGGGATCGAATCCTGAAAACATACTGTGGCGGGTTCTTGGTATTTTTTTCTCTCAAGCCTTTGGCGATATTGATGACGGACCACAAGTGCTAAAACTGCACGATTCCGAACGTGTGTGTGTGTGTGTGTGTGTGTGTGTGTGTGTGTGTGTGTGTGTGTGTGTGTGTGTGTGTGCGCGCGTGCGTGTGCGTGCGTGCGTGCGTGCGTGCGTGCGTGTGTGCGTGCGTGCGTGCGTGCGTGCGTGCGTGCGTGCGTGCGTGCGTGCGTGCGTGCGTGCGTGCGTGTGTGTGTGTGTATGTGTGGAAGCAATTGCCATAATATCACTACAGCTAGGTTACGCAGGTCTGAAAAGGGAGGTGTAACAAAGCTACATGAAAATCACACACATTCTTTTTTACTCTGAAGAAATTGAATTTCACAAGGCATGGACAACTTTTTCCTGAAATGCCTCTGCCCACGATTTTGTTTGCGATATTTCAAACTTTTTTTAAGAAGAATGAAGTGTGACGCAATGGTGGGTTGTGTAGGCGAGCTGATTGAAATTTACTTGGTACCTGTAAGCCCCCAATAGTGAGATGAAGGATTAGAGCCCCAGGTGGCTCGCGAGAGAAACGCTTAACTTTGCACAAGTTTGGCAATCCTAGGGTTCTAATTTGGACCTCATACGGTTTTTTCTCCAAGGTGTCTCCTTATTGCCAGGGTGCTTCGAAGTTTCTACGGCTTTTCCTTTTCTCTGGCTCGCCACATAATTGCCAAAGTTCGAGACTCAACCCAAAGATACAACTTATGAGCCCAAAAATCAGTGAAACCCAAATCCGAGTTTTGTTTGGGAATCTAGGTCTAAAGTTGTTACATGAAAACCGAACAACCACAAGTGAAGCCCAACTCTGGTACTTGTCTGGTGATTTAGACTCGATGAAGTCAGATGACAGCCAAACTACCACCAGTGAAGCGCAACTTTGCCACTTGTTTGACAAATTAGAGCCAAGGTGCCCAGACTTTGGCCAAATATGGGCAAGTTTTGCTCAGTACCTTGGCGTCTTCGGTCTTTTTAAGACGATAAATTGTGCAAATTCCTATGGTCTCCTTTCCCCGATGACTGTGATAACGGCCGCGGGTCGGAACGCTCGGCCTCCTTCGCCGTGAGCTCCAACCTGTTCGTGAAGCGGAGGGTCCCCAGTCCTGGAGAATCATCCTCTCACTCTGTTCCGGGGACCTCTTTCTGTTCTCCCGCTCGGATACGGATCACTGCTGACAGGCGAGGAAGTTTCGCCTCTTATTTTCCTGATTTCGGGAGAGGATGATGAAACTTATCCCTGGAGTAGAGGAGCAAGAGGGACAAAGGACAAACACAAATCTTCAAACACTTGCACCTTTGCATTTAATTGCATTATAATAATAGCCTTAAATTTGGGAGAGGTACTCGTCCGGTGACCGCAAAAGAGATATACTCCGTTTCACCTTCCGTCCGAGCACAGCCGACGCTAGGAGCCATCCCAGCCAATGCGGCGTTGAGGGAGTGTCATGCGACCTTGAGCTCCCTGTGTCGCCCCGCCCCACCGGCAAGTCACGCGACCTTCTCCCGGCGCTGGATCGGCTGGGATGGCTCGTGGCGTCCACTGCGCTCGGACTGAAGGTGAAACGGAGTATAGTACGTGTATCGGCGACTTCTCCCATGCTTACCCAATTTTGGCTCTCCGGAGCACCGCGTCTGGCAGGTAATGACCTTTCCTTACCTTGCCGGCGCGGAGGGCATTTTGGATGCGGATATAGAAGTTCATTAAGAGAGTTTTAATAAATGCTCTTGGGCTTTGTCCTTACTCTGGTACGTGCGTCTTCTTTTCCGCTATATTCGTGAGAGTGAGACAAGGTAGTCGATCATTGGCATCGACAGAGGTAACTTATCGAACCGGCCCGCGGTAATGTGGCCCTAAACGTCGTCAACGTTGCCGCGGACATGTGGGGACCGCGCTACTAGGTTTGACGTTCCTTTGAGATCGCCGCAGCTGATGAGATAACCCTTTGGTTACTCTATCGGTACCTTTGTAGCTAATAGCAAATCCCACATAAAATGGCGCCCAACGTGGGGCGCCAGAATATGTGGGATGGTCACGGGTGTTGGTAACCGAAGGGTTCAGCGCCGGTCTCCAATAGGAAGGCGCTAAGCCTACTCCCTCACCCCGCAGCTTTCTGCCGAGAACACCGCTACGGGGCGGGGGAGAAGGGGGGGGGGGGGCGAACGTCAGCTGCACAACTAATTGCTTCTCTAAAAAGGAGAAGACACACGTAACAGAGTAAGGAAAGAGCCCAAGAGCATTTATCAAAATTCTTTTAATCAACTACATAGTCTACGATGTCCCCATCCTAAATTCCCACCGCGCCGGCAAGGTAAAAAAAGGCCCTTAACTTCCAGATGGGGTGCTCCGGGGAACCAAGATCGGGGAAGCATCGGAGAAGTCGCCGACACACGTCCTATCTATTCCGCGGTTACCGGACGAGTACCTCTCCCGAGAGCGGGAAAACAAAAGGTGAAACCTCAATCAAATTTGGGGGTTTTACATGCCAAACCAACGACGGGCATCTGGCACGCCCCAGCGGAGGACTGGGATTAATTTCAACCACCTGGCGATCTTTTGACGTGCAACCGAAAGCTCGGTTACGCGGCGGCGCCTACTCCGCATTATGCCTCCGTGAAACCTCCTCGCCTGTCATCAGTGATCCGCATCCGAGCGGGGGAACGGAAACAGGTCCCCCATGAGAGAGTGAGAGGACGATCCTCCAAGACAAGGGGACCCTCCGCTTCACGAACGGGTCGGAGCTCACGGCGAAGGAGGCAGAGTTCCGACCCGCCACCGTTATCACATTCATTAGGGAAGGGAGACCCCAGGAATCCCCACAAAATTCACAGACTCAAACGAAAATTTAGCCCAAACAACTGTGTTACCTTATGAGAAAGGTAACAGCTCGAGTGTGCTCTTTTTTGTCTCGTCCACAAATGTTATTTAAGTAGTTCGCGATAGTTTCCGTGTAAACAGCGCCACATCCCAAGGATACGCGCTGCATTACGTGCAGCAATGGTACTTTTGGCCACTGAATCCCCTCTTACCTCAGTAAGCTCAAACTTGTTGTAGAGTGGAGTCGGAGGGTCGGCGAGCTGGATGACAGCGTTACCGATATCTCTGGTTGGGTCGAACGGCAAGGCGAAGGTGGACGGCCGGTTGTGGTGGTTCAGAATGTTCCAGGGGAGAGCAAGAGGTCGTTGGAGATGGAGCTTGTGGTTAACGGTGTCGAGCGTGGCCTTGAACTCCAGTGGCAGGGACAGGACAGTGCGGGAGTCGCTGCCACTTCCCACTGCCGTCTCATTGAAGGTGAGGGCGACACCGACCACACTGAAGCCCCGGTTTTCAAATCTGTAGAAAAAAAACAGAAGTCGTCTTGAATAAAATTTATCGAGACCCTAAGATTGAAGATCGACGTCAGAAGAAGGGTTCCTTCTGGTTTGGTCTCTCACCGGATCTAATGAGGAGCCTAATTTGGAACTTCGTATTTTGTGCGGTTTACGTTGAAGCAAGTCGCGCTCGCATATGCTATGTAGTCTTCCTACACGTGGAAGCAGCACCTCACGTAACGAAATTGACTGTTTCTTCTGTCTAGTCTCAATAATGCCCATGGTCTGCTTTTCAAAGATCACGGAAACGGTCAATTACAGCGATTTACGGAGACAGCTGTGTAACAACGAGGATGAAAACTTTAGAGTCTCAACCCTGAGGCATAGGGAGATACAACAGACAAGACGACACAAAATCCGGTGTGTCGTGGCCTAAGAATGCATCTGCAGCATCTGCGCCGGACTAGATCTGGTGGTCTTCAGCCGCTGTTCGGCCGGACAGACCGGCATCGGAACTCTTTTTCTGCAAAGGGCTGTGGCACTCTGGCGTTTTCTGCCAAGGGAGCTGACCGAGTGTCCGCCCCTCGAGCGGCAACACGTCAAAGCCTGGAGCAAGGAGCCCTCGGGCCACCTCCAACAACTATGATGTATCCTCCCTTTCTCTTCCCCTCCCCCGTGTGTGTGCGTGCGCGAGCGTACACGTGTGTGCATGTTGGTTGTGTACGTGTGTGTGTATGTGTATGTTTCATGTGAAAATCTTTCTTTGTTTTGCTTTGTTTTGTTTGAAGTAATGCGGCACTGCAGACCTCAGGTATGGGCCAATGGCCTTTCTGTGGTGTCGCGGCTTTTTAGGCGGAATAAAGATTATTATTATTATAACACTGGACATCGGGTTTCACATTCAAACATCACGCTTAGTATAACATTGAAGGCTTAAGTTCTTGGCTGAAGCATTGTTCATCCTTATTCATTTTCCCCATTATGCACCGATTCGTCCACAAATTGATCATCAGATGTTTACCTGCTCTAGAAGAAAAGTGTACAAACGATCAGATTTTTGTTCTTTAAGTTCTGTGTATTACATATTGTGGGCACCCTGGCTATGCAGCAAGGCAAACCGACCACAATATACATATGTCTGAGTTCGCTGTCTTTCCTCTTCCTCAAGGGCCCTTTTCGAGACTAACATTAAATGTTATAACTCGAATGAATTAAACAATATTGCGGTGTACAAAAAGATTAAACTTATACTAACTAAAAAACACAACATAACCGGTTTGTCCGGCCAGAGATTCGATTTTCTTAGCTTAAATCATAATTGAGAAAGTGCACCTGATTTCTTAGTCTCGACGTTAATTTATAGCTAATAAGTAACCTATCTAAGGTCGCGCCCCCGCAAAAACAAAATCCCGGCAACTCTGACTCAACTTCAATTTTTCTGGGCTGCATTAACAGAAGGAATGGAAGAGGAAGATAAATAAAAATTGTGGAGGGTTTGGCAACCTTGAAAACTGCAGCGGATACCCAATAAACGACCTAGCCCTTCACTTGCGTCTAGGCACATTCGTTAGAAAGGACGAGAGTGTTAAATTGCAGAGAAACGTTTCTTCTTTCAATGTCGAATGTATCCAATATTTTGGATTCAGGACGTACTTTTCTTGCACCGGTGTTCATGCAAAAGAGCAAACAGCTTGCCGGGCAAAGCTATCAAGTTTGCCTCCTTGCTAACGCTCCACACAAAATGGATGATGGAGGGTGGACATTCATTTGATGCATATCGTTGATACTGTTTGGGAACTGGGAGGCTACAAGCCACGAGTTTGAGGTATGAACTTACACATAGCGTCTCTTGACATCCAATGAAAACTTGTCGTCTGCGGTGCGGATGAAGTCGAACTTCTGTCGGTCAACGAAGGCGAAGTCGACTGACTTGAAGTCCATGAACACCGGAACTCCCATGTCCGTGGGCACCAAAAGGACGTAGTCGTTGTTGAGGAAAAAACTCTTCCTGCGTACTTTCTTTGTTAGGATGTCCCAGGGATCGTCGCCAGGTTTGTCTGTTTTAAGAGAGAAGAAATAAGCCTTTTAGATAGCCCGTAAATTTTCCGGTTTTAACGAAAAATACAGATACACAACAGTTGACTTTGAAAATCCAATACCAATTAAAACCGAAAAACACCGATATGTTCGCTCCATCTAGGACTATTTTTGTCGAAACCCTCACTCCTTAGGCCTAAACTCTTAGTTTTCACGAGCGGTTTACGCCAGTAATCACTGTTTTAAGCGCCCGCCGTAAACAAATGGCCGAAATATACTAATATAAAAAAGAGCACAGAGAAACATTTGCCCATTTTTTTTTTGTCAATAAATATCAGAATTTTTATGGCCTACTTGTAGACCCTTCTAGATAACATTCGCCTTCTGCTCCCTGTTACCTTTGCCTATTCGCGACTCCAGCGAACAATGGAGGGCGCGCTGCTCAGGCAAAATGGCGGACGAAAGGAGGTCGTTTTCGTCGTTCAGCACGCGAACCACCACAAATTCCTGCACTGCAGCGTAAAATCAGTGTTACACACAAAAGCAAAGCAATTTTTCGACTGTAGAAACCTTCTTCTAGTCAGTGCGCAGGAATGACACTGCGGAATCATAAAAATAATTACTGGAAACGCTGTTTGTTTTTATGCTGCCTACGAGAACCAAGCAGCGATAGCAGACGACAGAGTCGAAACGACCTCCTTTCCTGAGCCTCTCGGCGCTGCCGCTACGCGGCGTCGATTTCGCCCGAGTCGCGAATACTGGGCTGTGGAACGCATTCTGAGCTTGCGCCGTAGCTCCCTTCTGTGGATATCAGATACCACGCATGACTTCGTAGCACGGTAGCTCCGCATCTTCATCCGGTTTAGCAAGTGCTGGGAAGGTGTATTCGGCGAGCAAGTGCTCCAAAACGCATTTTTGTCTCATCACAGCGCGAGCACAGACACACCAATCGAAAGGCGACAAAGGGAACGTGCAGAGAACGCGTGATGACAAGGCAGCCAAGTATGCACCGTAAATGGTTGAGGCCGTGTTGGAGAGCGGGGGTACATTTGGGCGTTTTTGGCGTGTACACGAACGTGCAAGGTACGCGAAGACCAGGAGAACTTGCACGCAGTATTGTTCACGAGAGTTAAAAAAAAAAAGACAATTGCAAGCATGGTGAAGCTTGGGCGTGAACAAAGCTTTGGCAAACTTAAAATTACACGAACAAACATGGCGGTGGCTAATGAGGTTGTCTGCAATCATCTAGGCGATTGCAAACAAGGCAGATCTGACCGTCGCCATGTTCTTGCTAGTGTGAGCGAACACGTGCAAGTAGAAGCCTACCAAAAAGCTCCCTTCACGCGCTTGTTGCGCATGACTGCACGCATGGGGCACCAGTCGGGGACCCTATACACCTTTTTCCACAAGGGCGCAGCCATCTTGAATATTGTCGCTTGAGGCATGCGCTAAAACATCGTTTTGACCTCTCCACGCCGCTGGAAGATGTTCAGGCAAAAGGCATGATTGCCACACATTCTTGTTTAGCCTCACCTAAATTGTTTCGCATATTCCAGGTTGAAATGCTTTAGTACATTTTCGTCCAACATACCAGATACGGAACCCACGTGACTGAGAATGAGAGGAAACGAAAAACGTCCTTATGATGTGACCGGCTACAAACACGGTGTTCGCTGGACGCCATATTTGAGGGCGATATATAGAGCGCATGCTCAGAACGGTCACACATCAGTAGGCTGCCAAGACCGGCACTCTTGATGGTGCGGAATGCGTGTTGCAAAAGAACTGTGGGCGCTCGCCGTCAGCATGCGCTTAGCACCGGCGCACACACCTATGGCCGCCAGTGAATATTTCCTACCCTCCGCCTCCAGTTTCGTACGCGTTACTGAAAAACAAAAGTAACCGAGTACAATTAAAATTATTTTGTTGAAAACTGTTGTGACTACAGTAATAAATCACTGCACCACAAAAGTAATTCAGAAACTACCAGAAAGTAATTTATTACTTTTCACCTGTGTTCTTGCGTTACTAGATGAAGTCAGTGCAGAGCACAGTCGTCTATGCCGTGGCAAAGCCGGATCTTAACCCATACACAGGAAGCGAGGCACAGTCGATAGCTCGACAGTCCAAACGTCGCTCAGCGCGTTGACATTCTAAACTTTCTCGCGTCTTAACACTTTTTTTTTCAAGTCTCCAACGTTGGTGCAACATAGAACAGTGACGCACGGCCAAACAGAGCGTTCCTTTTGCGGAAAAAATTCAGCTCAATTCGTTTAGCTCTTTCGGAAACATATAATGGACCTCTTGTAATTGATTACAAAAAAAGTAATTGAATTACAGCGAACATTACTGCAGAGAAAAGTAATTGAGGCATCAAAAAGTTACGATAAAATGCAATTCATTACAATTAATCAGTTACTCGTAACTCGTTGCGTACAAGTCTGGTTCTACCCTTCAGCTTGCTTGGACTGCGCGTGCGACAAAGTGTCATCAAAGACTGAAAGTTCGCGCTGGAGACGGATGATACACTAAAGTCTTGACCTGTCGCCGACTGTAGACAATATGGATAAGGAAATGACGGCGTTCATCGCACTTTCCTTGTTCCCCCATCGTTCTATTTGGTCTGTCCGACGCGGTCTTACCCGATTCTTTCAACTCGGCAAGCATCCTCTCGTCGATCTCCCAGGTGTCGATCTCGTTTCCGTACATGCTCAGACCGATACGTGCGTAGAAGGGATCGAATGGCCAGTCTTGAATGGGGAGCTGCGGGAGAAGAAAACGGGAATAATCAAACGCCCCACGGATGCATTCTTGTTGTTGTTGTTTTGTTTTGTTTTCTTATGCCTCTCACGCTGTTGATTACTATTCCAACACTCGAAGCTTCGTGATTCGTCCTTCGGAGTATTTATCGGCTAATGTCACAATCTTATTGGCCGCCGCAGAGCGTTGATAAGACGCTTTACCGGTGTTTTTTTAAGCCGACGATTACTACAGAAGCACAAGGGCGAGCCTGGCATCTCCAAGGGCATAGGCTAGTTCACAAACTTGCCTCTGCTTACAACCACCTGCCTTAAAATCTTCTCTTTTTTTCTTTCCTATTACAAGAGCGAACACACTGGCACCCTCTATCAAGTGGCCGTGGAACACTTGACATATCTCTATATCTCTTTCCTTCTTTTCTTTTTTTCAAACTTCAATTTTTTTTATTTTTTTTTTTTTTGCTTGAAAGTTTTTGATATTGCCGTAAACGATTATTTCTCGTGGATTTTACGCTCACTGGAATTCTAGAATACCGCAAAACACCTTCGTTCTAGTGCAATGCAGTTCCATGGCCTCCTCGTAGATGGCGCAAGCGTGGTAATGTGTTTTCTCGTTGTAAGAGATCGCAACAGTTCGGTCGTGGGCATACGCAGGTGCGTGAAGGGGCCTCGTGGCTGGGACGCGCTACCGCACCAATGTAGCGAAACGTGTAGCTTTCGGGGGTCCTCACCGCGTCCTCGATCTCCTTGCGGTCCTTTGCCGACGCCTCCCTCGTGAACCGACGTCGCCCGCCGAAGTTCCACAGGTTCTTAGTGGAGCCCGGTCGTGGGCCCGCGACGCCATCGATCAGTTTGTTCAGGCCCCAGCCTTCGAAGGACATGGCGATCGTGTCGTACGAGTAGCCGGCGTAATAGTCCTTGGCCTTCAAGTAGAGGCTTCTGGGCAGGTAGCTATCGTCGGCCTGAATCATCGAGAAGATGGTCGCTCCACCGTAGTCATACTCGGCTGCGAGGGCACAGGAATAAGGTCATTCAATTATCTGAATTCTTATAGTGTATGGTGCACTCTTTGTGTGTACTTTATGTTGTTTCCAAAAAGGAGGAGGGGAACTAGTGGCAGAAGGCTTTAGCGCGTCGTATCCCGGAGGAGCGAAAGTTAGCGCTGCAGAACCCAGGGATCCTGGATTCAATCCCGTCCCCTGCCCGTTTCGATCTGGACGAGACTGGCACCGGTGTGCGGTGAAATTTCTCATTTATAGCGGATGCATCAAACGTTCATTGGGCGGAACAGTTTCCGCCGGCTCTTTGAACATGTATACACGAAATACAATTATTAAAAAAAATGAGGATTCATTAGAAATAAGAAATGATAAAATACAGCAAACGGAGATCGAGGGATACACTTGTTCCCTCCAAAGTTCTATAACGCATGATAAGCAGCATTTAAGGAGCGACCGCTTAAATTTGTTTAGAATACATTAGACAGTCGTTTCGGGGAGTGATGACTCTACAATATTCATTATTTTGCGAAGAAACTGAGACGGCGCTCAGACCCCGTGACATCAATTTCCCCGCCAAATTTAGCGGAAAATTGAATTGGTACGTCAAATTTCCTGCTATATTTAGCGGGGAAATAATTATTTTTTAAGTACTGTGACGTCAGGTCACTTGGCACGAACTTTCCCGCTAAATGTGGCGGAGAAACTGAATTGGTGTTTAAATCACGTGATGTTAATTTCTCCGCAAAATTTAGCGAGAAATGCAAGGACGAACGGACCGACGGACGGTCAGAAAGACTATTCTTTTTAAATTAAAAAAGATATTGCTAAAAAGAAAAGATTTTATGCTTTAAAAAGTGGAGAGCTCACGGTCGTAGCCGGATAACAGTGCCAGCTGGGACTGGGTATAGTCGAGTGGCTTGGAGAACCTCTGGACGTTGTCCCACATAGGCACGACGTAGCGGAGATGCTGGGCACTGCAGCGAAACACGGGCGACCAGTTAAACAGCGAGGACGGCGTACCCATTAACGGTCCAGCTAAAATTGATACAACTTGTTTTTGTTTTGTTTTAATTGTAGCTCGAATACAAAATGTTTGGTGCTTCAGAGCTCCAACCACTTGTATGTAACCCGCTACGGGGGAAGCGTTACTTGCACCTAGTTACTTTATTCGGTAGCGAAGTAACGATATGGTTTTTTTTTAACATAAAGAACGAGTAACCTATATTTGTTACTTCTCGATGAAGTAGCAAGCAACTGTATTCAGTCACTTCTGGAGAGGAACGTGTACAAGTATCCGACCTTGTTCTTAACCCAACCCGCGCCTGTCATTTGCTCGAAGAGAAAACGCGATGTCGATCATAACAAGATGTATACAGGGTGCATCGATGCAGCTAGTGCCACTATATAAGCTATATCCTTCAGAGTAAAGACACTCGCCCATATTGTGGCTTTATGGTTGTCAGTTATCTGAAGCTTTATCTGAAATCACAGGGCACGCTTTTCCGTCCTCCACAAATGTTTGAACAGTTCGCGACAGAGCAAAGCAATATTACATGAGCTTCCTAACACCGAATCTAATGCTGAGAAAGTAGCATTTTTGAATCATGACGATCCGCAGTTGCGTCTGATCTGCACAAGCACCAAAATGGCGGCGCCCACAACTATGTCGGGGAACAGAGTGCCGATACTCTAAGCGCAGCTCATCTAGTGGCTCAAGATCCAGCAACAGTAATCCGTGAATGAAGGGAGGAATTATTACCGACGGCAAATATTCAATTACGGCATCGTACAAACGAAACGACAGATTTGGAGAAACGAGAAAATAACGCCTTACTTTTCAGCTGAGGTCACGCGGTCATTTTGAATCGCAGTAACAAAGTATACTTACTTCAATCTTCGACACGTGAATAATATATTTAAAAAAACACACCTGTTGCCAATCCTTATTTTTTGGTGGTTTCTTCAAGATAGCTCCATATACAGTTATCTGATTTCGTATCATATTTATGACTATGTTGTCGGAATGATTAGTTTAATTGACAGTCCGAGGGTAATTAAGACTAGTTAGCGACATTACTTACATTCCTATTTGAAGATTTACTCCGTTATTATACAGGATAAATAAATATGGGGTCAGTGACAGCCTAGAAGTGTCTGAGCGTTGCCACCTGTAATTATCTCACGATCATTGGGCAGCGAGAGCTGCCGTGGTGTAATCACAACTCGGTAGCCAATCGCGTAGCGACCAACACCCCCAAAAGATATCAACACGATGTTGTTGTTGTTGTTTCTTTTTTTTTGGTTGTTGTTTTTTTGTTTTGTTTTTTGCTAAGACGTAATGATTGCGGTGCCGCATGTAGTTGAATATAACCACGGTATTTACGGTACAGCAACAGTTAATGATTATTATAAAACTATTCGTGTATTGACGAATCCTCCATACGAAATCGAGTTTTTGTAGAAAATAACAAACGAATATGTGACTTGCGTTGAGCGAACAAACCGCGTTGGTTATGTCAACACTCCAAGAAATCTGGTGCTTCTGCTTTCCCAGCAAAGCATATGGAAGAGTCATTCGCTGCCCTCCACAAAGAGAGGCGGGCGAATGACGATGTTGAAAGTATGTTTAGACATAGAAAACAAAATAAGTCTGACGTGTAACGGCGAGCATGAGATTTCACCATGCTCAGTGCAGACTACCTGCGGTTCGGCACCGGGAATGGTGGCTGCCTTAGCAGACTGGCTTCCAGATGCATGGCTTTGGGACGCCGGTCCGAACCTAAATCAAGTGCGGTCGGAAGTTGGCTCAAGCGTAAGGGCCTTCTCGTCGTCTCAGAGATAAGCTATTGTTTGTTCCTTTTGACAAAAGCGCCACAAGACAATGACATAAAGTAAGAGACACGGGGCGAGCGCTATTTTCAACTGAGTGTTTATTGAAACAATACAAACTATTCTTATACACCCAATCGGACTTCTCAAGCGGGATTTCAAATTCTTTATCTGTTAAATGAACAGTCTGGGCACTTATGCATCCGTCACCCCCTTGGATTCTGATGTTGAATGACTCATACAATTCTCTCGAAATCTTTTTTTCTTAAACTCTCCAAAAATTTTGTTTCTTAAAATTCAGAGGTACAAGGGCATCTCTCACAATGAATAGCCAAATTGCACAAGGGGAAATTCTTTACTTCCAGCGCGTGCTTTCGTGCCCTGTAATTGAAGCACCCGCCCGTTTGACCCACACGCCTCACGCCGAAGAAATTGAATACCTGCTTGAGAAGCCCGATTGGGTGAAGAAATAGTTTGTGTTGTTTTAATACACAGTCAGTTAAAAGGAGCGCTTGTGCTGTGTCCCTTACTTTATGTCCTTGTCTTGTGGTGGTTTCGTCAAAAGGAACGAAGTATCAATAAGCCCATCTCTCACTATTTGTGTTCCTTCGTTTGTTGAGTGTCACGCCTGAACTGCAAGCCGAAATTGATGTTTCTTCGGCTAAAACGATGTATTAATCGAACTCTCTCTATAGCCAGCCGGCAACGGCCAGGCGGCGCCAGCAGGGTGAGAGCGCACGGTTATACCCTGTCTCGTTGTAACTTGGCAAAGGGTGAACGATAAACCCCACACTGCGTGCCGAAGGCTTCAAAATGCGCGACGTATACGAGAGCGCAACGCACACATATTGGAGCATGACACAGCGAAAAGCCTGATACTTCTTCGGAGTTGAGGCCCGCTCCGGTGATACGCAGTCACGTTCCGATTGGCCCGCCAGGGCCGTAGCTTCCGCTCTACTGGCACGTTACGCTATCACGGCTTCCTGGGATACCCAGTATTTCTTGCTTCGTACACTAGGCTAAGCGGCGCCACCAGAGTAAAAGCTCACGTTTGAATGATGCAGCCGCAACTCTCAGGGGTACCCAATATTTCTTGCTTCAGTCGCTAGATGGCGCCAAACCAAACAACATTGCAGGTTGCCTATTATCTTTGGCTGATAATGAGCATTGACTTGCAGTTGACATCACGGAGTGATGTCGAGCTGTCACGTGACATCGCGACACAGTCACCAGACATTATTTAGATAAGGGAATAACCCGTAACAGGTCTAGCTGTTAAGTGAAATGGAATCTCGGTCAAAATGACGGACTTACAGCTCTTGGTGGCACGGGTACTTGGACTTGAGGAGAGCGCGGAAGGTGCTGGTCACGTACGATGCCACCTGGTCGCTGGGGTCGTCGATGACGTACCGGGCGATGTGACGCAGCTTGTACAGGTTCGGTTTGGTTTCGAGAATGCACCGAAACGCCGCGATTCGAATGACCGCCATCTCGCTCTTGTTCTCGTACACCGGCAGTGCGATATTGCGGGCCTGCAGGGAAAGCCGTGGTACGCGCGTTTGAGCAATACGGCCTAGTAAACGAGGCACGCGTTAGGCGGTATTGGCTCGGGCCACTGTGCGAACATCGACAGTGACAGGCAGCGTAAAGGGCAACTCTGGTCAATATTTTTGGATTCAAAATTACGACCGTTTTCAGCTCAATGTCCCTGAATTACAGGGAATATTTTTTTTCTATTATTGTGTGTAGTTCTTAGAAATATCAATGCTCAAAGTTTGGTTTCGGGCGTCTACGGCTAAACCAAAACTATCTCCTTGAGATGGATGACGATACTGATCATCAGCTGAGCGTTAAGAATTAAGTTTATTTTTGGCGCATCTGAACCAGAGCAACAAGCTCAGGAACAGGCGGGTAAGCCGAAACAAAGACAAGCTCAAATTCAAAACGTATATAAAAGTATTGAGAACATAGTCTCGAAACAACCAGAAGGAGAATGGGCGTATCAGGATTTAATAGGAATCTTTAGAAGAGAACTAGAGAAGCATCGAGTTAAACAAAGAGGAAAGCAAAAACAAAGACACAAACAAAAAACTTTCAGCCTTTCCACTCTGGTGAAGAAGGAAGAGCAACGGAGCCATAGCTCCTGCTCTCGGCGGCGGCTTTCCAGGCGAGCGATCTGCTCTTCTTTCGCAAGGGAACCTGAAGCGCTCGACGCAGTGGAACTCGAGGTGACAGCGGCTTCGCGGCGGTTGCGGACCCATTCACGCTGCTGCTTACGTCGCCGCTCCTTCCGCACCAGGTCTTCTTTCCCCGAAGAAAGGACACGCGGCCGACACATCGTGAGCCCAAACTGAAACTAATCAGAGCGTAGGAAACAGCGCGCCAAACAGACGAGGACGAGGAAGAAACACACGTGACGTGTGCTCCGCTCGTCACGTGTGTTTCCTCTTCGTCCTCGTATGTTTTTCGCGCTGTTTCCTACGATGAATTGCTACCAACTGGCCCGACTATCCATCCTTCTATGGTAGATGGAAAGGTTGCCGTTAGTTATGAGCGACGGCGGCAACCAGACTGGTTGTCTTCTTGTCGCCATCGCTTATAGATTGCGGTAGCCGTCCAGAGGTTTCTGTCGACATTTGTTTGGTACCGGACACAACCCTGGGGAACCTAGCTCTTAACAGCTCCGCTCTAAAAAGCTGGTGGGATAAGGAGGTCAAAGCAACCATATTGCGGTGGCAAGAGGTACCTAGGGAACATAGGGGGGCAAAGAAAGGGGGAGCCTTGCCAGATGAAGTAGCGTCAAAATGGGAGAACTTCCAAGAGCGGAAAATGAAGACATCAGCTTTAATACAAGCCAAAATTGGTAGTGCAAGAGCGCAGGGGATGATGGAAATAAATAAAAAGAATAGGAATGAGACAGAAAAAGTTTTGGGAGCACATTAAACTGCAGAGGAGAAAGGTGGAGAGTTTCCAACACGTACTGTCCACAGGAGGGGAGAAGAATAGAGGGGGAAGAAGCACGGGAATATACTGCGGACAGTCGAAGAGGCTTTCTTCCAGCTTGAGCAGAGGGGGACAGTGGATTGCACTGACAGCAGCAAAGTAGAGGAGGAGCAGAATTGACTAAAAATGGAGACGAACCACGAGAGAATGGGATAAGGCAGAAAGTAAGGTTCCAGCAGGTACAGCGACAGGAACAGAAGATATAACCATGGAACTCATAAATGTTTGATGGATTGAGGCCCCGTACCCTGCGGACAGGGCGAAGCGAGCCAGGTAGCGACCTAGACGTTCCAGAACACAACAGAGGAATGAATTTAATCAAGCGATATCAACTATATACTGCGAAAATGGGCGCCACAGGATTGCGGCAGACTATTTAGAAAGTCGATGGGTGGCGACCTCTACAGTTAAGGCACTAGGTAAAAACAAGCAAATTGAAGTGGCGGCATGTGATTAACCAAATGAATATGGGAGGATGATTGGAAACTAATGATCGACCTAATGAAACTAACCCAATGATTGGAAACTAAGTAAAATGAGACTAATATATAAGGGCAAAGGAAACAAAGACAGCATTTAAGTCATATCGCCTGATAACGGTAACTTCAGTCCTATGCAGATTATGTATGCAAATAGTAAAGCAGAGGATAGAGGAATGGGCAGAGGATATGCAAATACTAGGTGAGCTCCGAAATGGATTCCGAAGAGATAGAAGACTGTAAGATAACTTATTTGTCACCACACAATGTATAGGAATAGCAATGAAGAACCAAACAGCTTTATGGTAAGCTTATTTGGACATCAAGGAAACGTACGATAATTTGAGCCAGGAAAAACACTGGGGTCCGCTGAGGGAGCAAAACTAGATTCAAATTTGGTTAGGTTTCTTCAGCAGGTGTACACAGACAATAAGGTAGTCAAAACTTGGGAAGAAGAAACTGGAGAACCCGCAGCACTAAAAGGGGAGCTCAGACAAGGCTCTCCACTGTCACCTCTGCTCTTCATAATATATCTCAGTGAAATGAAAAAGAAATTAGAGCAGAGCAACTTAGGTTTTAATGTGGAAGAAGGGAGAAATGCAGTACAGGTAATACCAGGACTGATGTCTGCGGACGACATAGAACTTATGGCAGATAACCAGGATACGTTATAGGAACTAGCTGGAATATGTTGAGAGGATGGGGACACATTAAGTATGAGTTTTAGTAGTGACAAGTCTGGAGTAATTGTGTTTAACGACGAAAAGAGGAAACCGCTGAGGATACAGGACATCGAAATAGACCAAGTAGGAAAATACAAATATCTGGGAGTCTGGCCCAATGAGGGAAGGAAATATCTAGAGGAGCTCGAGCAGAATATAATTAGAAAATGGAAAAAAATGCATCTATTATGAAGCTAAAGGCAGTATGGAGCTATAATAGATATAAAGTTGTCAGAAGTATACGGAAAGGACTGAAGGTACCAGGACTCTCCTTTGGCAATGGAGCACTGTGCATGAAATCAGAGGTTCAATCAGGATTAGAAATTCGACAAAGAAGCGTAGGCAGGTAGGCACTGGGAGCACATGGAAAGACACCAAGTGAGGGGGTAGTACAGGGCGACATGGGCTAGTCGTCTCTTGTGAGCAGACAGACAATTAGTAGGTTGATATTTGAACAAAGGTTTACTAATATGTAGGACACGCGGTGGGTACGGAAGGTATCCAAGAATTTATGCATCAAATGTTTTAACACAAAATGGACAAACCGAACCCGAAAACTTACATTTCAATTTCCAGACAATAGTGATGTAGCATAAGGAGACTACTTGATTGGAAGAGAGAGTGAAAGAGGCAGAAGGGAAAATGTGAGAGGTAAGAATGCAGGGGAACTCAACTCTAACAATGTAGAGGACACAAAAACAGGACATAAGAAAGGAAAATCTGCTTGTCAATTCCCTGCGAAGTTCTTTACTGTTTGAGGCGAGAACGGGAGTTTTGAGGACGCGGACGTACAGGGCTAAATTTCAGGAAACAGACACAGTGTGTGCCTGAGATATTGAGAGTGATAGACTAGAGCACTTGGTATTGAAGTGCACTAAGCTTCGCCCTGCCGTCCCTGAAGAGGTAACAGAATCGTCCGGGGCCCTGGGTTTGACTGGCGACGATTGAAGGACAAAACATGATTACAGTCACAAAGAGGCGGTTCGAAGATTGGCGGAAATTATCTAGAGAAAATTGAATGATGCGCAACTAACTAGCACAGCTGGGGAGAGGCGGGACGCAGGAAAATTGGAACTTTCTCCCGCATGGCTTCTGCACAAAAGTCTCAACCCTGTCCCCCAGTGGGTCCGGTGCTGAATAAAGCCGACAAGGTTTGACCAGAGGAAAATTTGTGACTCCCTCGCCGGGGAAAGAGGCGGGGGTGATGGTTTTATTTTTTTTTTTTTCCGATCCCCGAGAAATCTTTCTGGTGATACCCCACACTGCCTGGTGATAGCTAGGGGCAGAAAATTGGCATAGAAGGGCCAGAGAAATCATAGTTGTCTTTTCAGACTAAAGCTAGGTGGCGTAACCTACAACCCGCTACAAAGGGTATAGCCATTAACATTCATCCATCTATCCATCCATCCATCCGCCACGTGACGTCACAGTGCTGCTGCGTAATGCGTCGCCCAGTGTTGCTTGACTAAAATCTGACCCGCCTGCCACCCGCTAAAGAGCAGCTGGTCGCATCCTTAAAATTGGTTCTAGTGCACTACGAGGCTTCACTTTGACGTAGTATTTCGGCTGTGATCATATTTAGTAGCATTAAAGCAATATATAGCAGTCATTTATTTCGGCTTCGCATCTTGCACCGCAATTCATTCTTCGGGTTACTTATCTACTAAGGCAAAAGCCTTATTGGCTGCATATTAAAAATCTCTGGATACCTTTAGCTGTCTGCGGCTAAAGAGACAATTCCGAAAATGGCCTGCGGGAGCTGCTGTCTTTTGTGCTGTGGTACCCGTTCTGCGCATTCACAGGAGTTCTACTTCTATGAGTGATGAAATGCCGTTCATGCGCCCAGAGCTCAATCACTCGGAGATTTTCGCCCGGAGAATAAAACCTAATAAACCGTATTGCAAAAAGGAAAAAAAAAAAACATTTTAAGATTTTGTTTTAAAAATTCATGCGGAAATGGTAACCTAGCATGCTCTCAAGATACTCTTAGTTGAGCTTTTCTTTTGAAAAATTTTCAACCGATGACAAAGACCATTGGTACCAGATGCTTCAGTGGATAAAAAAAAATCCCACTTAAAAACAATGAAATGGATACAATTTTAGTGGTTTAAATTGGATTAATTTGATTAAAATCACTGTAGCCAGAAAATTTATATTTTCAATCACTACATGCAATTTTATACATGCAGATTGATTGATTAATTCATCCGATTACAAAAAATAATGCGAAAGAAACCGTTACTGGAAATAAAATTGTACAGCTGAATGAACACACTAAAACAAAGAGAAACTTTTTTTTATACAGATAAAAAAAAGCTGTATTTGTTTCTTTCGCGTTTTTGATTTGCTTGCGATAGGACCTTACGTAAGTGAGTGACGAATTGGAAGCCAAACTCCGTTTCATGACTATTTGGCGAACTGTGGAGGCTGGGGCCCCGCGACCCAATGAGAGTGTCGGAGCGAGGCACGTGACCCAACGTCACGGGAGCATTTGTGTCACCACGCCAAATGCGAGGCCCGGAGGAACCGGCTGTCGTCTGCTAGCCAGGAGTCGTCTGCTCAGAAACAAACTAACTTCAGATGAATGTCCACCGTAGCAACATGTCCGTCTGCTAGAATAGCGAGCACTTTGGGAACAGTTTGTGATACAACTATACGCTCAATTTAGCCGCGAATAAGTGACGGGTACTAATGCCAGGGCACGGTGCGATGTTTTGGGCGGAAACGGCCGATTACACGGCTGCTGTAGTGGACAACGGCCGCGGCACCATAACGCGGAAAAAATTGAGTGGATATACGGATGCAGAGTCACTTTATAGGTTTAAATATACTTGAAACTTATAAAGGTGTTATTATTTATTCATTATGTTTCCTATCTTCTCATTGGAGATGGAATCGCGCGAGTTCAGTGGCCGTTAAAAGAAAACGAAGCATAGAACTATTTTTTGTCGCCGAGGGTTCATGGAGTGTTATCACGCTCCGTGCTCGGGCGCCCTTAATGGGTCGCGAGGGCCCCAGTCTGAAGAGTTTGCCAAGTTATCGTGAAACGGGAGTATAGGAAGAAACCAGAATGCTCCAATTTGCCCAGAACAGCACTGCTTTTTGCTTGTATTCACCCTGAATGAATCTTTTTTGCCTGATAAGTTTTTTTGTTTTTTTTTAATACACCAACAATGCACACAGAAAACAATAGATGATAGGCAAACCGTAAGAAAAACGATTTCCGGGATTATTTTTGCGGTAAAAGTGTGATTTAATTCATCACAGTAAAACCGGACTGATTTAAATTATAGTTTTTATAGCGATATAATTCATCCTAGATTTTATTCGCCACCCCGCCTAAAGAAAAGTGCTGTACCTTTAACCCGAAATGTGTTCACAAACTTTCGCGTGACAGAGGCACAAATACAAAAAGTTCTACACTCTAAGAAAAGCCCGTGCGTCTGCTTTCCCGCACAACACTCGGACAGTCAATCAGCGCAACTTACGGAGGCAGCTCAGCGAATGACGATGCCGAAACATATGCTTAGACCAGAAAACGCAGTCTGAGTTGTGACATTAAGCAATGCAAGCGTGACGTTTTGCATTGCTTAATGTCACAACTCAGACTGCGTTTTTTGGTCTAAGCATATGTTTCCGCATCGCCATTCGCTGAGCTGCCACCCTAAGTTGGGTGATTGGCTCTCCGAGTGTTGTGCGGGAAAGTAGACGCACAGACATTTTTTAGAGTGTAAAGTTGAGAAGACTTCAAGGGCAAGGAAAAGGCGGGTAAGGAGGCACTCTTACCAGTGCCGGATGATGGTGAGCGGCAGCCTTGAGGGCCCACAGGGCGTTGGTCCTCCTGTAAATCGGCGGATGGCCCTCAAAGCCAATGAAACGCTTCAGGTAGTGCAGGGCGCTCCGGGTCGCCAGGTTACCGGCCGCTTTGATGAACACCGTGTGCGTATGCTCTGGCCTGTTCTCCACGTCAGCCGGGGTCACCGAATACTGAACGGGAACAAAGACATCGCTGGTTGGAAAGAGGGCCGATGAGATCAACTTTTTGTTTCGACACGCTCTGAGAAATCTTTGCAGTAACGCTCGCAAGGATACATATTGTCCATGGAAGCATATATGTGTCGCATTGCTGGCTGCTCTACTATATCGCGGTGTTTTCGAACCCTCGAAGGATAACGCGGGACATTGAAACAGGCCTATAAAATCCTTATGCATTCACAGACGTTAGAGACTGTAGACACTGGCAGCTAAGGAAAAGCAGGGTGTGGTTTATCATCTCCATGGCAATTGCTCTGCCATTTCTACTACTACTATTAAAGGGTCTGCCATTTCTTCTTCGGCGTGCTTATCGACTAATGCAGCATGCTCATTGGCTGCTTAGTGATAACAAGCTGCCCAAAAATGGCCACGCCCTGCCATTTTTTTTTTTTTTGTCATTGACTATATACGTATGGTGTGCGGAAGTACCGGTCTTGGAGTCTGAATTTGCAGCAGGGTAAAGACGCAAAGCGGGTTGATGGAAGGTTAACGCGTGTCCATAACCTGACATCGAGGGAACGTGTTGCAGAACTACGTCGTGGCAATTTAATCGTCGAACTTCCGATGGAAACTTGACGATTAAATTGGCACGTCTTGCAGTGACGGCGTCCATGTCTGACGTTGCTGTCGAAATCAGTGTCTGCCGTTCATGGGCATCAACAATGGAGGTGCTCCGAGTCAATTTCCAAGCGATTCCTCCCAGTTTTCTTTTTAACCTAATTGCTGTGACACCAATATCTTCAAATTTGTAACTAAAAATAAAACAAGATTACTGCAGAAGCTGGCAGGAAGTGTAAAACAACGACGACAACAACAACAACGACGACAACGACAACAACCACCAGTGGGTATATCCCATATCGACAATCAAATTTGTTTTAAGATATGCAGTTTGAAGAAGCTTGGTCTTCTTGCCAAACGCCGGCCGCAAGGCGAGGCTGGGAAGAAGGTTTCATTTGGACATTAAATCCGCAATAGCGATATCGTAATTCAAATGTATCTGGCGATTTCTTTTGATCAACATAACTTGATCTTAATGACATGACTTACGTTGAAGAACTGTGAGATGAGAGCAACTGAGCAGGTTCCTTTGTCCGGCTCGTCTTCGGTCTTGCCGCGAACGCAGCCGTGCTGACCGGCGATGGTGCTCAGACTGAGGATGCACATCACCCACATTTGACGCTGGCTCCGGACTATCTGGGACCGGCAGATATCCTGAAAAGTAGGGAAGCAATTCGCAAACTCGAGCAAGCACTAGACGCTTTGTTATGTGAACAGGGTGCTTTCGGTGTTCAAAGCGTATTGAAGGAAGAGGGAGGGGGGGGGGGGGGAGGGACTCCAACCGCTTACACACAAACAGGAGGAAGATAGATGATTTTGAATCGTTACCGCCTTCAGAGATGAAATTATACAGATCTCGCCCGTAGTTCTTAACGGTGCTGCATAATATTTCAGAGTGTAACTGGAAAAGAGCAGAGATGAAGGGAGACCTGGACTGGGCGACATTAGAGCACTAAATGACATAGTGTAACTGGACGACAGGCGCGACATGTGAAAGAGGAGGGCTAATCTGCCATCTACCGTGATAGCGAATGAACGCCCATTGGCGGTAGAGAGAAAAAGGGTAAAATATGAGGTGAGCAATTCTTCTGGGGTTTTCGGTAAGCAGCGCATGAAGCGACACAGAGCGCTGCATGTTTAACGAGGTCGAAGCAAAACATTGTACGCCTCATATTGGATATGACTCTGAAACGGGGAAATCAAGCTGTCCAATATCAATCTGCGATAACGAATCGACACTACGCTGCCTGGAACGCGTATTCTACTGGTCTGTTCAGCGTCCCATCGTGGCCATACTTCAAAAGTGGTCCCAAAGTGGCAACAAATGACGTCACAGAAGCCGGCGCGTCATGATGTCGCATGTCGCGATCCTAGCGGTTGCTGCTAAAAGTCTCGCCAAAACGTTCGATCGAACACGAGTGCCGTCGTCATCGCGGAGTCTCAACTTCTAGCTGCCGAAACTTCCGCGGACTGGCAAGCTGGAGATCCATCTGCAGCGGAAAAGACGTCTGACACATCCACCGCTTCCCCTGTGACACCGCCAGGATCGCATCCGGCGACGACATGACACGTCTATGAGGTCATCGGGCAGATATTGAGGATTTACTTTTTCGATGCGGAAAACACACCATTCGGATACGCCTTTCATGCACGATAGCGAGCGACAGTTTGCCTTGTACTGGATGCGTGTCTTGGTCCAGACGTGCCGCCGTGCGCTATATCCACCTGCGAAAAGGCTCAAACGTACTGCGAGTTGAGTGATAAGGGCAGGGCTGTGCTCCTTGAGGTTGAGTGGCAGCCTGGTGAGAAAGTGCTCAGCGTCGCCCCCGGAGAGCTTGCCTTCCTTGAGGAGTTTGAGACCGAAGGCCACGTGCGGGTTGCTGCCAGCCGCTGCCAAAACATCCAGGAAAAGCCTCCTGCACGCCGTGCGTCGGTTTAAAAAAGGCGTAAGAGTTAACAATACTAATAAAAAAAAACGATTCAGTAGCTGCTGTCTGTGCCTCGAGCAATACCGCCTAGAAGACATAGTGAATCTACACAGCGCCGCCTAGCTCGCGTCATCGTCGCCGCCAGTGCGTCTAGCAGTGTCTCACAACGATTGTGACGCTAGCAAACGGCGATGCCTGACTATACGTCTGCCGCCTTGCAGCGTAATCTCTTCGAGCTTCGGCATGTTTACCGCTTGGGGCGCGTCGGATATCCACTAACAGTGACGTCATGCACAGACCATGTCGTCTAGGCGGTCTTAAGGCAGTGAAAATCACTTAACGTAGGCTGGAAGAAAGGTGCTCGAGACTCATCCAACAGAAATTTGGAGCAGAATGTTCATGGAACGCCACCGATTGGGCATCGGCAACAAATGCTCGGTGCCGTCGTTAATAGAGTTCCAACAAGGTGCTAGCCGTAAATGTAAGCCTCAACTTTATGCCTAAGAGTTTGGGGCCCTCGTGGAAAACAAAACTGCGTAGAAGGGGTATAGCCTCGGGAATTGTGCTTCGGACTCTTTAGAGCGCAGATTTTGGGCACTCGTTTCCGGCTTGAGCGGCGTCCGCGTCGCCGTCGGCGTCGGCGTAACCGCGCGGTGCATTATGGGACGTTTCTCATGATACGTCACACGTGACGTCACGTGTGACGTCACGAGGGTCACTAGTGACGTCATAGATGACGCCACCGCGCGTTGCATTATGGGTAAATGTTCCCACTAAGTTAAGCGGGAAAATTTCCCCGCTAAATTAAGCTTAAAACTTTCCCCGCTAAATTTAGCGGGAAAACTTTCCCTTAAATGGGAGGCGAGCAGGAGAGGAGGAGGGGAAGTTATGGATGAGGACGAGGGGCATGTCCTCCACTCAGTACCCTTGCCCTCCTCCTCCTCAAGAGCTGCGCTCTAATTCGGCATTACAGGGGATTGTAAACGTCTTTCTTTTTTGTTCTTGTTTCTGTTTTGCTAGATCTTGTATCTTACGAGATGATCACCGAGTACCAAGAGTTAAGTCGCCACCATCCCCATCTACTCTGATTACTTTTTGAACCTCGCTCGGAACGCGCTAGCCCCTTTTTACGGTCTGATTTTTTGACTAGGCATTATCTTAAGTAGGACTCTGTGCCGAGTAATAATAACTATAATATTACGATTCTTTACTGCACGGTGAAGGAGTACATTTTATTATCCATGCTCACGAAAGCACGAGGGTGCTGGCATAGAAGGGTAGTAGAATTACTAGAGCATTATACATTACTACCTTTTGAACTCGTTAGTGTGAATCAACATTCTGTGGGAAAATGTGACCGAATTCATATTAACACTTTGAGGTGTTTACAAAAGAAGCAGCAGTTAGTCAGCAGTTTGAGTTGAACTAGAGTTTTACTGAAGCATTCTTGTTCACGCGTACTCACGCATGCACTCAGAAGCAAACGCGTGTATGCACCTAACACACTAATACCCTATTAACACGGGCACCCTTAACCTCACTTAAGTCACCTTTAACTATAGTTACACTTAACCGTGGTTTCGAGCGCTATAATATCAGACAGCTATCTCAGAAAAAGTAAAGAATGCTCGATAACAGCTTTGATGGGTGCTCAAGATGTGCAAGTGCACGAGCGCCGGTAGCTTCGACCGCATAGCCGCAAAACGTTGTCTAAGAATACTATTCGGGAAGAAACTGAAAAAGAGGTGGACACGAGATCGCGGGGAACGTCGGAACACTGAGCTCTGGTTGGAAGGATTAGTGGGTAGATGTAAAGCTAGGAGCCGTTGTCTCTACAGCACTCGTCGAACGCGTTATATAGAATGCGAAAGCCAAACACCAGACGCCAACGTTCCGCGTTCTACCTCGTTCGAGGAGTGCAGTGAACACAAAAGCAGCTAGCTTTAGGTCTTCCCACCAATCATTCCCACCAGAGCTCAGCGTTTAGACGGCCACGCTCGTCCCCTCCCCTCCACCTCGTTTGCGCAATAACTGCCTGTTCCACGTACCTGACGTTCTGTCGATTGGGCTCCGGTGCGTTGACGACGTTCTGCTCGTAGACCTGCTCGATGTCTTCGTAGCGCATGGACGCCATCGATCTGAACAGGAGGAGGAAGCGGAGGGCACCGCTCTCCTTGGTGTCCACGGATCCGATATCCGAGTCGTCGTATCCGAACGCTGCTAGATGGTTGAGGCCTTCCACGAACTGGGAGGAACGAAGCGCTGGTCAGGTTAAGTTACGCTAGGTTCAGATTGGTCAGGTTAAGTTAGATTTGGATTGACTCGGTTTGGTTTGGGTCCTGCTCAGTTCGGTTCGATTTGGTTTGGTTTCGTTCGGTTCAAGTTCAGTTCTGTTTGGCTTGGTGTGGTTCTAGTCGGTTAGATTTGGTTTTATTCGATTCACGTCGGTTCAGTTCGGCTCAATTTATTGAGGTAAAAGTTTAAGAAAACTGATTTGTCATACTTTACAGACTTTAGAGCTTTTATCATACTTCACTGCTTTTGGGGGAGAAGCGACCTTTGTTGATTTTGAGTCCTGTATCAACGTTCAACTATGTCGCGCCACTCGAGAAACCTTTCATTTTCGCTAAAAGCGAGGCTGGAGATTGTCCAAATGTTCGCAGTCGCTTCTACAGCATAGCTAAAATACAAGGTGCAGGAAATTGAACAACGTACTTTGGTTTTGGAGCAGTGAAGTCTAATATAGGCAACAACGGAGTTTCCCTTTTAAAGAACATGGACCCTAAAAAAGAATTTTAATCGAGTGCCTAAATACCACTAAGATCTCACAAATGAACGTTTCCATTGAAAACACTATCAACAACGTTTACACTTTCAGTTAGTACAGATTCTTAACCATGCCTCTATTTGGAGCCGACGACCCCCGAAACGTAAGTATGTTTGGAAATAACTCTCGGGGTACTAAACTAAAAAAAAATGAATAAATAAATAAATATGTATATCTATTAAGTTTCTGGTTTGGACACCTGACTAAAGATGAACTTCTTACCACTCCCCTCCCCCTTCCTTTCCTCTTTAATTAAAAAATATATATTTACCTCGAGAGATTCATTTTGAGTGGGGAGCGATTTCGAAACGCGCTGTTTGTGACGTCACAGAGCGTGACGTCATGTGGTCCCATAATGGCGATGCCACATGACGTCACGGTGCAACACTATACCAAGACGTCACTGAGTTTCGTTACCTCATAACGCGTCACGTGGAATCATGACGTAACGGGACATCCTAACATCACCTGACATCATGGCGTCGCTTGACATAGTACGTTACAAAGTCACGTGATATTAAAATGTCACTTGACATCAGGGCGTCATGTGACGTCTCGGCGTCTTCGTGACGGTTCGCTGTCACGGTCTTCATGACTGTTGTTTCATCGAATTCTGCCAGTAAAACGCGTTCTGCATAAAAAAAAATGTTTTGAAGTTCAGCATTTTTTTTTAATATACGCTTAAAACTTTCATACGTTTTGCCTCCCGTTCTGGAGCTTGCTGTCGATGATGAAGTGGTTGGGGTGCTTCAGATCCTCGAGCGTCTGTGCCTTGCCGTACTCGGAGAAGGAGTGCGTCAGTTCATCCGAAACACCCACGTCATCTGGAAGCTGCATGTCCGCGTTGGCGGCGCGTTCCTCGTCCAGGAACAATGTACGGCTGCGTAGGAATGGGGAAGAATTAACGTCCCGGCATGGTTTCAGGGTCGTTTTCCAGGGGACGGTTGGAGAAAATGGCGCAGTTATGAACGCCCAGAAAGAAAAAGAAACAAGCAGAATGGACATTGCCAGACTTGTACGTAATCTGTTACAAGTAACGAAATTATTTGTAATCCCTTACATTTACCGGTAATTTAGTAACAGAATAATTACATCTTTTCTAGAGTAATTTTAAAGTAATTCTCTCACATTTTTTACGTAACGGATTCCTTGTAATCCGTTACATTTTTTTTTTCAGGACCAGCCCCCCCCCCCCCCCCTTTCTCCTTCTAAGGAAAAAGGTCGTATTTATTTTGGTAAAGTCGAGCGCAGTGACACTGTCACGCACATTGACCAGCGCAAAGGGAGGCTTGGCACTCTTCAGTTCTGCAAAGCCTTCTTTTGCAACACCAGGCCCCTGAATCTATTTTCTTTTTAGACCCTAACGACAATGTCATAAAATCCAAAAAAAGCATTTCTACAGAAAAAAAAGGGGGTTGGGGGGGGGGGGGGGGGGGGGGCCTCTTTGAGAAACTCTAGGCGGTAAGTGCACAGACAAGAATTAACAATGTCCGACCATTTTCATAATGTCACAACACGAGACAATGCTCCGTCTGCCCTAAAATCCACTAAAAGAAATGTGATAATATGTGAAGGTGTTATTGCCACAAGCATCCTCGTTCGTTGCTGCACACTTATCATCTTCTCTTAGAAAGCAGGATGTATTTTTTTTCTGCTTCTTTCACATTATTTGAATCTGTTTTGAAAGCTACTTACTTTTGTGTGGTCCAATTTCTAGGGTTGGCCCAATTCATTTGTGAATTTCAGCCAGGTTATCCGCATCTCAGCAACCCTTTTTGTTAGTTAGCTTTTTGCGATCACTCAAAAAATAATAATTGTCTTCCTTTTTTTTTTTTTTTTTTGCTGTTTGTATTCCAGCACGAGGCATCTTTACAAATAAGAGATAAGAGATCTGTGCAAATGAAACATAATGGTGGATGACGTAGACTTGAGATTCTGGGCTTGAGGAGAGAGTGAAACTCATGAGTGGGGAGCCATAGTGTGGCTCAGTTCTCTGCCTTTCGCAGCCCGTGGCATCAGCGGAAGTCTATCTGGAGAAAACCGGAGTAAACTGCAATAGGTCCGTGCTCCGTGCGTTTTTGAACGGCATCAAGAGAGGTACACATGGCAAACGTGCATTTGCATTTTCTTATTTTAACCGACGTTTTGATTATTCTTTTTCTATTACTTATATTTATATATTAAAACGTTTTCTTATTCACCAACGCGCTTCAACCGAGGCTCGACCTGTTCAGAATCAAAAGAAGAAGAATATCGAGCTAAACCTTAAATATTATTTTATTATCACCTTACTGGGGTACCAACTCTACTAAAACTCTCGTATATCAGGCAACGGCTGCAACGATGAAGCCCTGCCCTATCTTCGAGCTAAATAGTACTTCCATTGCTTCGCTGAAAAATCTCGATGCAGAGCATAAAACATTCGTGAGGCACAATATGGCACTCCCATCCAGTGCCTCAGTTCAAAGGGTGATCAGCGTAGCAGTCAACATATTGAGTAAGAAATAACGCATAATGTCTGACGAGACTTTCGAGGGTCAGCTGTTGCTCAAAATACTCAAGGTCAATAAATGGAACAGGTGGCAAGAGTAAGAACTTGAATAACTTTCTTCCTTTTGTTTCTTAATTGAGGAAAATATTGTTGAAGAATCCCGGACAAAAGCTCACCGGACAAAAGCTCACCGGACAGAAGCTCACCGGACAAAAGCTCACCCATTTTTTAACAGACCCGGACAAAAGCTCACCAGAATAAAATTTCATGTTGGTCTTATAAAGAACCCAAGTGTAGAGAAAAAGGCGATGAGCCTCCTTTTAGCGAATTCGGCCACCGCGAAGCGGCGTGTACGGATAAGTCAGGTGAGCTAACATTTTGGTATTGAGCCGCCGCAGACTGTCGGCCGCGAAGCAGCGGGAGCGCCGCAGGGGGCTTGGGTTAACACGCGCACTAGCGATACACGCGCGAAGTAGAAAAGCCTTTTCTAAACAGCGACCCCTTTTCGATAAAACGCATATCTCTAAACTGAAGCTCTGCTTTCTCTAAACCGTACGTACTTCGATAAAACGTGCCCGTTCTTTAAAACATGTTTCGACGAAATGGCATTCGATAAACCGCAGTAAACCCTTGCGTGGGATGGGGTACAAGTTTACCTAAAAATGGTGCAATGTCCATCGCGTCCGCATTTTATTTCAGCCCGTGTTTCGCCCGGGTAACGAAAAAAAATATGAGGTGAGCTTTTGTCCGGGTCTGTGAAAAAACGGGTGAGCTTTTGTCCGGTGAGCTTTTGTCCGGTGAGCTTCTGTCCGGTGAGCTTTTGTCCGGTGAGCTTTTGTCCGGTTACCATTGTTGAAAGTACCGTCACGAAAGTAACCGATTACTTTTGGGAGTAACGGTCACTTACTTTTATGAGAGGGTAATTGTAAAAAATTACAATTTAGCCTTGAGTTATTGTAAATGTAATTCCTTACAATTTTTCAGTAACGTGTACAAGTGTGGACATTGCAGGGAGCCAATAGGTTACAGAGACTTTCCAACTGCTCGATTAGGGTCAGGTGGTTTATGGGACATGTTTGCAAGATACGAGGTGCGAGTGCGCGACACGAACGCGATGATCGTCTGCAAACGCGTCCACCTTTCCGCCTGCTTTCGTCCTCGCTACGTTAAACCGCAGCGCGTTCGGGGCAAAGAGAGGAGGAACCACTAGCGAGCGTGCCGCAGAACGGCACCACAATTCTCTGCGCCGGGCGGTGCATTGTGGGATTTCCGAAAAGACTTGTGGGAATTTCCGGAAGGGCCAAATCACTCGTAAAGTTGTGCGGAAAAAATAGACAAATAAAGATAGCTCGCAGGTTGCCATCCGGGACCGAAAGGTCATGTTATAGAATTGTCGAAGGAACTATAACATCGCTTGTTTGAGACTTAACATTATGTCCAAATTATGTTCGCAGCTGCAGTTTTTTTATTTTTGCGTGAAAATATGATTTCATAGACAAACTGTTTTGTTCTAGTTTGTTTAAAATTCTGTTTTGGGCGAGACAATTCTAATAAGCCCGCTTTATTCTGGTTCACATTCTTCTGCCACGAAAAGGAAAAAGGGTATACTTACCTGGGGTATATTATCAAAATCAAAAAACCCGTGGGGCGTCGGCGATTTTAAAGTTTCATTTTAACTCGTATACGCATAAGAAATATAATTAAAGAATTCTCCTGTCCGAATGACAAATTTCCATTCAGCATTACGTTTGTTTCAAGCAATTAAGACGAAGATCCGCACATATTCAAGATGATGCCCTCCTTGTGACATCCGCCTGAAAGGATGTTCATGAATATTACATATGTGGTGGTGGAATTCCCTTTTTTTATATTTAGTAGCGCTTTGGAATGTGCTTTCCAGCCATAAAAACAAATCAGAGTAGTGATGTGGGCGAGTTGGTTCATGCTTAGAAATATTGGAAACAGCGCGCAAAGGACAAGGACGGGAGGAAAAGGAGTACACAGGACGAGCGCTGAACTGACAACTGAATATTTATTGAAAAGGACCCAACGAAGAAAACACCCACAAAAAAACACACTCGCATCAACACGTGTCCATGAAAGTAATCTCCTTCTTATGTAAATACACAGAAGTTTGACTCACGCAGTTCTGTTCCCCCTCCTTCTTTATTCCATTCGCTTCTAAAATTTCCCTGGCTGTTTTTTCTACTCCCCTCCCCATGATTGTGATCTTATTGAAATCAGGATGACATTTGCATGTTCCGCAGTGCAGGGGCAAATGCCCTCCTGCTGTTGAACTAAGCGACCAGTCATGTTCGCGTGCCCTTTCATTTATGCAACGGCCCGTTTGCCCGATGTAAACTCTTCCACAGCTTAACGGGATCCTGTACACCACTCCGATCGCACAATCCACGTACTTCTTTCTGTGGTTTACAGTGCATTGGTTTTCACCCCCCCTCCTCTCGGCTACTTTAGAACAAAGGTGTGCCAGCTTACGAGGCGCCGAAAACACGACAGGGACATCAAACCTCCCCGTCACCTTTTTCAGGTTGTGGGAAATTCTGTGCTGATACGGGATAACCTGAGGCCTCTTGCTAGGTCTATCCAGCCGCTGATGAGGTCCCCCCTTAATCTTCCTTAACAGCGTTTCCGCTACCGCCAGCAAAACAGAAGAAGGGTATCCCCCTGCTGCAAGCCGCACTGTCTGCTGTTCAAAGCTCTCTGCCATAGAATGGGGACAGGACTTATCAAGGGCAGCCTGCATACACGAAGACGCTATGCTTCGTTTGACGAGCTTTGAGTGGGCGGAGTCGAAGGGCAGAAGTCCCTTTTTCGTACGAGGATGGTAGGCCCAACATACGTGACTTCCTGTGAACTGTAGTTTTAAATCTAAATACTGGAGGCAGAACCCATCTTGGAGTTCATGAGTAAACCTCAGTCCCCCAGAGTTTTTTGCAAAAACTTCCATCACCTTTTTGACAACCTGATCCTCGAGGACCCCCCCAGACGATTTAGTGAGCACAAGGTAATCGTCCACATATCTGAACACTTTCCCAACTGGGGGACTGAGGTTTACTCATGAACTCCAAGATGGGTTCTGCCTCCAGTATTTAGATTTAAAACTACAGTTCACAGGAAGTCACGTATGTTGGGCCTACCATCCTCGTACGAAAAAGGGACTTCTGCCCTTCGACTCCGCCCACTCAAAGCTCGTCAAACGAAGCATAGCGTCTTCTTGTATGCAGGCTGCCCTTGATAAGTCCTGTCCCCATTCTATGGCAAAGAGCTTTGAACAGCAGACAGTGCGGCTTGCAGCAGGGGGATACCCTTCTTCTGTTTTGCTGGCGGTAGCGGAAACGCTGTTAAGGAAGATTAAGGGGGGACCTCATCAGCGGCTGGATAGACCTAGCAAGAGGCCTCAGGTTATCCCGTATCAGCACAGAATTTCCCACAACCTGAAAAAGGTGGCGGGGAGGTTTGATGTCCCTGTCGTGTTTTCGGCGCCTCGTAAGCTGGCACACCTTTGTTCTAAAGTAGCCGAGAGGACGGGGGGTGGGAACCAATGCACTGTAAACCACAGAAAGAAGTACGTGGATTGTGCGATCGGAGTGGTGTACAGGATCCCGTTAAGCTGTGGAAGAGTTTACATCGGGCAAACGGGCCGTTGCATAAATGAAAGGGCACGCGAACATGACTGGTCGCTTAGTTCAACAGCAGGAGGGCATTTGCCCCTGCACTGCGGAACATGCAAATGTCATCCTGATTTCAATAAGATCACAATCATGGGGAGGGGAGTAGAAAAAACAGCCAGGGAAATTTTAGAAGCGTATGGAATAAAGAAGGAGGGGGAACAGAACTGCGTGAGTCAAACTTCTGTGTATTTACATAAGAAGGAGATTACTTTCATGGACACGTGTTGATGCGAGTGTGTTTTTTTTGTGGGTGTTTTCTTCGTTGGGTCCTTTTCAATAAATATTCAGTTGTCAGTTCAGCGCTCGTCCTGTGTACTCCTTTTCCTCCCGTCCTTGTCGTTTGCGCGCTGTTTCCATTATTTCCATAAAAACAAAACAAAAAGTTTTAGAGTTATAGATCAGTTTTAGATTCAATCCTGTCCCCCAGTGGGTCCATTGTTGGAATGGCGACGACGATGTTCAACAAGAGGAAAATTTGCGACTCCCTCTCCGAGAGGAGGCGGCGAAACGTGCGTGCTTTTAGCTTTTTTTTTTTTTCTTTTTGCTCGATCTTGCAAAGGTTTTTTTGGCGATTACCCTAGTGATAGAGGACACCATTGGCTCAAAAGGGAGACAGTTACGTCCCTTAAAGTTTTTAGGCTAGGTGCCGCGAGCTACCACCCGTTATAAGGAAAAAAAATTCATCCATTCAATTAGGTCATGTGAAAAGGGGCGTAGTGTGGGCTTACTTGACCACAACACGAACGGCCTTTCCGGCGCCGAAGGGTTGGAAGAGCGTGTCCGAGGCGGCAGAGGCATGCTTGATGACGTAATGTTGGGACGTTCCATCGAGTCTGTATTTCACTTCGAAAGTAGACGACAGAGGGTGCTGTAAACAAAGGAAAAAAAAAACTTCCTGTTTACTTGTCGTGTACTTGAAACGAACTATGGCGACAGCCGAGGCGCTGCACTCTTTGCTGTGTCTTGATGTCATGTGACGTCACTATGCGACGTGACGTCATGTCGTCACGTGACCTAAAAGCCTCACGTGCCGCGACATCGCGATTTCAGTGTCACGTGATGTCCCAATATCATGTAACGTCCCAGTGTCATGTGACCCATGGTGTCACGTTCTTCGCAGTGTCGTGTAACGTTCCAGTGTGGCGTGACCCATAGTGTCAGGAGACGCAGTGTCATGTGACGTCCCAGTGTCATGTGACATCCCGGTGTGATGAAACCGATAGTGTTACGTGACATGAAAGTAATTTGTGACGTCCCATTGTCACGTGACTGGTAGTGTCACTTGACGTATCACGTCATGTGTCGTCCTGGTGGCATGTGACTCACCGCGTCACGTAACATTACGTGACAGTTTTCTCGCTAAATTTATCGGAGAAATTGTTTAGCCGTTACGACCCTACAGGAAATACACCTGGGGATCTACTGCAAAACCTCATCAATAACATGTGTCGTCGCAAAAAATAAAAGTGAAAACAAAGCACTGATAACAACAAGGTGTTGCCATTTCTTCGGCAATCCATAATTATGGCAGGATACACAAATATTAGCTGGCAAAACAGAAACTTACAGTCTCCATGGCTTCACACTCGACGCATTTGTGTCCCTTGATTCTGCCGTAAACTATGTGAGCTTCCTTGTCACAGAGGTCCAAGTCCCTGACCTTGAAAACTTCAATATGGCCTTCTTTCTCAGTCACCAAGTACTTGGTTTCGCAGTTTCCGTGGAGCCCATGCTGTATGAAAAATGCGTTGACAGTTTAATAAGTTTGTTCACTGAGCAGATTACAATATATGCTTGGCCCACTACAATAGCCTGTTGCAAGTTGGAAAAAAAGGGGATAACCCCATCTTAGAAATTTCTTATTTACGCCATGATTGACAGTCTTCTCTTTTCCTCTCACCTCCTCTCCAGTGTTCGCTCCGCTAAGGTGAAAAGTGGGGAGGGCTTCGCAAGAGGAGCTTGCCCTACTTTCCTTAATCTGCAACGTACTATGCAGATGAGCAACCCGGTCACTAGACACAAGAGCTTCTTCTCATTGTCGGTCTCGTCACGCATCAACATTGCCGTATATTAAATTTTTAGATTATTGCGTTTTAGTGATCGTTTGACGGTCTGACTAGTTGAGTGAGTTAATCATGGCGTGCTTTAATATGCCCACGATAGCACATCAATTAGAATCTCTGCGCTGGCATACATGACAAGGTCATGTTTCAAGGAAGTTAACGATTGACGAGATTCGGGACTCTAGAGATGCCAATGTTGCAGAACGTTGATGATGATGACAGTCATCTTCATCGGAGAAAAACTGTGCCAGAAGGCTTTCGCGCTAGTAGAACGGAATACAGCGCGAAAACACAACGGACGAAGAACGAGGACCGAAGAGACCATACGCTCACTGTCAACTGAATGTTTACTAGAAGGTCACAAAACACATAACTTTTGCCCTCTCATATAACCAACACTTCCAATTTCGACGAGAATACAAGACAAACGCTTTCGACGTCAAACGCCTTAAACTATAAGTACACAAAAAATGTGCCTTACTGTTTAGCTCGCGGAAGAGTGGAAGACTGGAAGTCTCGATTATATCAGAGGCAGAAGGGATCAAACATAGAGTGAGTAGACAGGCGAGCAGGTTTATGTTACACATTTTTGCCGAGAGTCGTGTGTGGGAGAAGGTTTATATACCATTGGTGGCCAATAAAGTTTAGTAGCTGCCCTTGAGACGTTTTGTGTTTGTCCATTTTTTCGTTCGCCGTCTCCAGTTTTTCAAAATATGTGTACCAGAGGTGATCTCTTCTGTGTCTTTCTAAAAAAAACATTCAGTTGATAAGCAGTGCTTGGTTCTGTCTGTACTTGTTCTCTGAGCGTTTTCTTTTAGCGCTATTTTTCATTAGGCTATCGTTTGAACTAGCCCCACTTTTCATCCTCCAAAATATCTTGACTTTGATTTGAAGGGGCGTTTCAGAAACTAGTAATGGCGTTTAATTACAACACACAAACACCATACTTCTTTTGTTTCCTCACCTCTCTTGTCGTGTACTCCTCTACGGTGGGATTATTTTGCCGTCCCGTGACGAGGTCAAGTTGGAAGGTGCTGAGGACTCCCTTCTTAAGGTTCTTGGACCAGAGGGGCTCCTCCCTGCCGATCGCAATCTCAACAATCTAGGAATGCAATCAGGTTCACACTCAATGAATGGATGGCAGAACCCATGACCGATGTATAGCAAAAATCATCGCGAAACCCTTTGAAAAGAATCACATTCCTTATGTGAATTTCATAAAAACAAAGTATCGAGCTGAAACAAAATGACACCTCGGTGTAAGTGAGCGAGTGCGAACTTGTTTTATTTTCATTGCTCCGAGAGGCGTGAAGTAGAATGCATTTGGCTAAATTGTTTTGTAGTCGCTCTCTTCCTTTTTTTTTTTTTTTTGTGCATTGATATATTTACAATTTACGAGATCCTACCCAATACTCTAAGAAAATTTGAGTGTCACTTTTCCGCAAATCATTTGGGAGAACTTGTGGCCGCAGTGAACAGAAGGAGCTTGGCCAATGACCACGCTAAAAATATGCTCAGATTAAAAAAAAAAAAAACAGAGAAGCAATTTGCGTGGCATTGTGCATGGTGAAACGTTTAGCCCAGTGCCACAAAGCAGGTTATTTTCTTTATGTCTAGCAATTTTTGCAGCCTCGTAATTCTCAGAGGTCGCTCCGTGACTTCAGTGACTTCTGCAATAAAAATCTAGGTTAGCGCTCCCTTGCTGCGTAAATAGTCTATGGAAGACGAGTGGCGTACGCACATTACATGATCGAATCCCCAACATGACAATTACAGTTTGTTCAGCGAAACTCAAAAAACAAAAATTATTGCTTTCTTCCTATCGTTACCGCGAAGCTAAGTCAAAAAGTGTAATTAATCTCGAACACTTGTCGCCCCACCTTTCCGTGGGAAAATGTTCCGGCAAATGGCCTCTCGATGAACTTTCTCAGGTCGTCAGTGGAGTGATAGTTAAACTGATGGTCGTCCAGTATAATGCGGTCCCCGTTGAACGAGTCCACCTCGAAGTCTGTTATCTGTGGAAAGTGGCGTAAGATTACCATCACGCGAAGGTCCTTGCGGGCCCGCCATGTTGTTTTAGTGTGTACATGCGCCAACGCGACACAAAAAATAAATTCAGAGCTTGAGAGTTTCGCATTTTTGAATGTCGACTAAAGCGCACCTTGAATATCGCCTTCGTTAAAGACAGGTGCGATAGTTTGATCCAATCCCATTCTTCTTCGATCATTCTTTGTAAATGTTTCTTTTTTTTTTCTACTGTTCGGGGCGTAAATTCGTCTGATTGGCTTGGATTTGAAAGGTAATGGGCAGACCTCAACGATAGCTGCCCCGAGGTCTACCCACTATCCATCCCATCGGAGCCAATCAGAGCCCGGCGTTCTGACGTCACCGTAACCGCTGCGCAACGTTATTAAACTACTTTAGTTGTGGAACTCCCGCAGAAAGAGGTACCCCCCCCCCCCTTTATTTCAGTCCACCTCCCGTCGTTCAAAGCGCCATCTAGATCTTCGTTTACGAACTGTGTGCTTCATAGAGTAGAGTGCCTTCATACACAGGCGCGCTTTTGCTTGAGTGGTGACAACTCAGCCATTTTTCCGCCCAATCGTTTTTTTATGCATTTTGAAATGCGCGCAAACCGGTGTCACTCAGCTCGAGCGCGTAGCTTTGGCTAATGTATGGACGCCATTTTACCACCCATGTCACGCCACGAGTGCGCGAGAGCATCACGCGCTGGCACATTGAGTGCAACAATGGATGTCTTCACCCTGAGACAGACAGACATGTAGGCACCCTATCATAGAGTACGGTGGAACGCCATCTAGACGCTGTTTTTCGAAACGTACGCATCCCATAGAATACACTGCAGTTACCAAAGCAGCCGTCCGGCGCTTTGGTAACGGGAGGCGAGCAGTGGTTAGGCCTTAGTTAGGCACGTAACCAAGAGCCAAGGGGGCGGGGGGGGGGGGGGGGGGGGGGCCGGCCTTCCCCCCCCCCCCTGAAATCTTCCATTTTGCTGGGTCCTCCTCTCCCTCCTCCCCCTCATACAGCATTTGGTCATGGGCGCCTCCCCCCACGCGTCCCCCCCCCCCTAAAAAAAAAAAAAAAATCCTGGCTACGTGTTTGGCTTTAGTGGTGAGTGAAGTGGGGTACTGCTCGTGCATGCAGCTTCTATTAGCAGTTCCGGAACTGAGCTAATCTAATAACGTTGCCCCTACGCGAGTAGCCGACAAACCTGCGGTCCGCATAGCCACGGGCAGATTTAAAAAGTTAGGAGTTTCAAGTTACAAGCATCTTACCCACAGCCAATGGGAGAACGGCATTAGCCGATACGACTGCGGAAGAACAAATCCTAAAACAAGGCACGCGAACATGGTAAGCCACACCCTGCCTTTCTTAAGCTGACGCTGACGCTGCCGTCAGCACTGCGCATGCGCAGACGCTTTATCTCAGGCGAATCGGGCTTCTACGCGCCTGCATTGCCCACACTAGGCCGCGAATGCGGGCTTGGCTGTACAAGGTCTGCAGGTATATAGGTATGTGGAAGCTCGAACGAGATGAAGATATTATCTTGTTCGAGATTGTATAAAGATATCAAAATGGGAATGACAGAACAAATACTTCATCCTTTGCCTGCTTGAAGCTGTGATAAAGTGCGTCTCATCATAATTTCTACAAAAAAAAATTACAAATAATTTAACTTTTTTTTTTTTCATCGTGATTATAAATTTAACACGCCTGCTGTTCGCACAGAAAAATAGAAGTGCGTAGTTCCGTCTTTACCTTGAAATATGTGTGGTCTGATTTGGGCTGGGCGACCACCTTGCTCCGGAAAGCGAATCCCGACGACTGCAGCGGCTGCTCCGGGTTCTTGATCTGCAGTCTGCCGTTGTAGTTGTACACGTACTCCTTGCCTGTTTCGAAGGCTGCGTAGGAAAGAAGCGAGGCTCTGGAAGTTTACTGACGAAGAGAGTCCTCAATTGCACGGTTCCGCAGCGACATCGCCAATAAATTATTTTCTTGCGCAGTCTTATCTCTATCAAGGATACTCCCATAAGTTTGAAACGTAATCCCGTTCTTTTCGTGCGTGTTTGAAATCATTTTTTTTTTTTTTATATATAGCATTAGTAAAAAAAATCAAGATTTAAATGAGGCAACTTACATGACTCGGAGGAACTTCCCACAGCTTTTTTTAGCTTCTTAGATATTGCATTTGTTCTTTAAGTCTTAGATACGTTTTATGAACGCAGAGTAATGTCTTGTAAAGTATATACGTTTGCAATCAGTCGCGCTTCGAGAGGTAGTCTGAACACCGTGGATGGAAAACACTGTTTGGGTGCCAGTCTAGAAACTGTTGGTACACCTCAGCAATGCTTCATTATCAGACGATCAACCCACACCAGCAGCAAGATGACGACGCCCAGAGGCAGTACTTGCAGACGTTTATACATTTGCAGATCCATGGAGCAGAAAATGAAGTTCGTCAGAGTTGAACATACGTCCATTCAGCTCCTGTATTTGGAAATACTCGGAATGATTTAAACCAAAACCACATATATGCCTCTGTAGCATTCGATTGCATCATGTTATGTACGCCGTGAAGCGAAGGTTAGACGTTTAAAAGAGTGAATTTTTCAGCTGAATCTGTCACCACTTTTAGCTGCGTTTGAAGTTTTGTTTGAATTTCGTCCTTGACTTTCCCTCGCTGCTCTAGAGTTTGTAATGTCAGTCTTAAGCACGCTCGCCGGCACTCTCGCTTTACTTTTTCTAAGTCCGAGAAGATGTCATTCTATATAAAATAAAGCGCGTGTTGGTAGCGGTGAGTTCGCTAAGATGAATAAGCAATCAGTGTAAGGAACTAGACGTGGACTATTTGATTCCACGCTAGCGAACTGCGTCAAGTTCAATAGCACAACTTATAATAAAGTATACCTTAGAAAAATGTCCGTGAGTTATCTTTTATATAGAACACGGAGACGGTCAATGACGACAAGCAATAAAACGACCTCAGCGAATGACAAAGCTAAAAATAAGATTAGAGGAGAAAAAAGCGATATGATCGGAGACAATGAGCATGTGTTTCACTCTTTTTCCATGCGCAAATTGAAGTATTCAAATAGAATCGTATTATCAGATTTGTCATTCACAGGAATGCTTCTCTCGTTCTATTTTATTGACTGTCTTCGTGTTCTGCGGGAAATTAAACTCACTTACTTTTTTTTTTCTTCGTTCATTTAGATTTCAGCGCTAACCATTCTTCACGAGAAAATATGTCATGCTCCTGGAAACAGACTAGGTTCCACAAGACGTACACATATCGTAAAACCCTAACGCCGCGTTCTACACTGCTACGACATGGTACAAAAGACAGTCTGTAGTAGACGCTGTCTGCGGCGAGTTTGCTTCGAAGATGCTTAAACCTAAACAGCAGGCAATTGTGTCATCATATCTCTTTTGTGCGATGTTAGATCGGTGTGCCTCCGGCGGTAACGAACTCACCCGAACAGGTTGCGAGGAACAGGAAAGCGGGCAGGACAAAAAGGACCCTCATGGTTTTCATGTCTCAGAATTTCGCTCCCATCTCCCGGGAAGGGCCGCTCGGTCTTGTGACTTTTCCTACGAGAGCGTTTTTAAACCAAGTTGGGCGGTCCCCGAGGGCAGGGTGAAAGGCTTTGAGTGGCGGGGCTACGATTTAGACGATAAATGTGAAGATGCGGCGGCGCGAGCGAGGGAAATTAGACGAATGACGGCAGTGCACGCGGTGAATGAGCAACTTTTCGAGATAAGTGATTATACAGTGTGCGAACTCCTTTCTGCATGGCGGGCTCCGTACTGTCGCAGTTGAGCCGCGATATGTATATATATATATATATTTGTCGTATGTTTTAGATGGGACACGACGATATTGTATTTGGATATCACGCAGACGGTCAACCGAAGAAACGTGGTGGGAAACTAACCCGACGACTGGATGAGACTATCTATCTTCTCTTCACATGTTTGTTTCAATAAACAAAACGGAAAACAAAAAAGAAACGTTGCGAGTATAGTTACTAGAATGGTACACGCCGCGACACTGTTAGCGTGAATAAACATTCGCCAGGTTTTTTCTTATTTTGTTTCTTAGCATTGCAGGGCTGTAATTCAATCTACTATAGTGGACGAAAGTGCACAGATGGGGGACTAACCGGACATGTACACAATACCCAAAAAAGTAAATATCTTAAGGTACTGAGTATTAACCTCGAAAGTAATTTGAGTAGAGTAGAAATTACTCAAATGGAAAGTAATTGAGTAAATTACTAACTATAGTAAAAAGTAGCGTATACATTCTGAAGTTGATTTTATAATTTTTTCACGGTAACAAGGAACTACATACGTTTTGATCTGTTAGCAAAATTCTGCTAGCCAAATCTAAAGCGGTTTCTGTTTTCACAAAAGTGCTTTAAAAGCACTTTTGTGAAAACAGAAACAAACGTGCCTAATTGTTTTGAGCGCGTTTTGTATAGCGGATGTATAATTTCTACTCTGAAGTTCAGCCCTGCCTGAGCTTCATTTTGCAGACATCGGTTGGTTGTTTACAGTGTTACGTAAAGTACACTTAAGAAGTACACTTAAAAAGTACTTGATCTAAAATACAAAGTAAATGAAAGGTTCTTTACTTCGAGTAAAGTACTAAGTTCGCCTGGTGCAATGTACAGTGAGTGCCCCTCAAACTTAACGCCGTCACTCGGTTTCGCAAATATTGATCTATTGCATGCTACCCAAAAATAAAGTGATCGCTGCAGCTGCTGGAATACCTTCCCCTGGTTGGATTTTCATTGGGGACGCAAATTTTCACCAACTAGTTCGACCCGCTAGGTACAGGAATCACTCAAAAAGTGAAGAAACCGGGTCATATCGTAACAGCGTTAATAAGCTTGGCGCGCACCGTACTTAAAGTAAACTACTATACATACAATGTACTCTCGATGTAAAGTACTTGTACTTTTAATCATAATCTTTCATGATGCCCTTTCATCCCCTATACGGTGTTTTCTTTTTAAGCTGGTATGAATTGCACCAAAAATTATCGGATGTGCATCACTTTGCTCGTTCCGGAAATTGTAGCAAATATTAGATAATGTCAAGTTGCCACAAATAGTTATTTTACTCTCACTGACGAACTGTTTACCACAATCTACTTATAAGACAGTTATTTGTATCGGTGTTACAGCCGCATTACTTCACTCTAAGAAATGACCAGATGATGTTTTGAAAGACGATACCGCGTTTTCACATGACGATACGCCATTTTTTGTTTCCAAATTTGAAAAATGTACTTTCAAGTCAGGAGTTGTACTTTCATCGGAAAGTGCCAGAAAAAAAAGATTAAAAAGTTACTTGTAAAAAGTACTTAGTAAACTGCTAATTACCGAAATAAAAATGTAATTTTAAGCTGAACTACATTCAAGTCTGAGACTAACCCGTATAGGTAATTGTGGTGCCCATCAATACACCTTTGAAGCAAAATTCGCAAATGCGCCGATATGGTGTTCGCGCTAACAGTGTGGCGCAGTGTACAGTCGTTGGAAACCCTAAATCAATCTGAAAAAAAAAAACATAAAAACCAAACAAGAGCTTAATGCGCATCATACATCAAATTTATATATATATATATATATATTGTAGATCGCATTCGGCTATAAATTGGACTATGACAGGTAAGGCACGGATGATTTCTGCTGTGGCCACTGACAGTTTAAGAAACCCCGGCCGCGGCAGTTCACGCCTCTCGCTTCGTGATTGGTCCTCTAGAGTCCTCGTCAGATAATGCCTCAATCTCATTGGCTCTGGAACGTTTAGGAGGTGCTTGAAACTGACAACACCTCGGGTTTCTTAAAGTATCGTCGAGTATACATAGTATCTTCGTGTGACCGAAAGGTTCCCACTTTCTGAGAGGTGTTCGGTTTTGTGTCACATATTTGGTTATAAACGGACTGCTCTTCTGACGACAAGCGGATGTCATGGGTCACCGGAGCCACTGTAAAGCTATCTTTTGATAATGCAGTCTGGGCTTCAGAGTCAGTGGAGTTTAGGCAGTTGGGGGAGGGGGAGGGAGGGTGGGAGTGGAGGGGGGAAGGGGGCACTGTCCTGCGTTGTTTTCCCGCGTGCTCTTAATCTGGCTGTTTTTTTACTCACAAGATGACTCCTCTTACACAGTCGGAATTTAAATACATTTCCAATACAAGGTTTTCTTGGTTTTTCTTTTTTTTTAACTTCGACGATCTGGGTGAGAAACGAGAGTTATGAAAACATATTTTAAGATAAAAAAATGTGGATTCATACTGAAGCTACTTTTTCCACACAATCATATAGCACAAATGTAGACAGATATTATGATGTCGCACAAGCTTTTGAATGTCGCCCCCAGAAATGCTTGGCGCCTGCCAGCGATGGACTACTATAATAGTATGATAGAATGATTGAACATAACTTGTGATAGATTGACTGAGAACCCGTGGGCTGTCAATCAATCTATCTCGGACTTAACAAAACTGTCAGTCGTACCAGACTTTTTTTTTTTCACCCCCATAATTTGTGACGGCAGTTCGTCTCTCCCGAAGTCTCATGTTTCCTTCATTCACATCACACGTTTGTGGTGAGTGACGCTCTTCCACATGATGACATGACTGAGAGCCTGGACGGGAACCATATTTGGGGAAGGTATCCCGAAGCGTGTCAATCCTACCCCAAAACCCCGTGTAATGTTTTCGCTATCTGGATTATGCATTACCTTTAATACGTTTTAATTTCATTTCAAAAGGCGTACCCACACCTTTATTTGCCCAATCTTTGGTTTATCCGTCAGGTATATTGCTCTGGCACCAAAAAAATACCTCTACTATGATACTGCTTTATTAATCGCCCGATTAACTATTTCACTGAAATGTTCTCGGCGCTCTACTGTAGTGTTCGTGGTCTTGAGATTAGTTCAGAAATTTCGAATGCTTAGCTCAGAATGAAGCCGTTAGAATTGGATCGTTTATGTGGGTATTGTGGAATTCTAATTCGGACATTGGTCATGATACCTACGACTTGCTGAATAAATGAAATCAGGGGAGTGCACAGCAGAGTTCTCTTGTCTTTTAAAAGACATGTTTGCCTGCTTTCACGTACCGCCATTCAATCGATCCTACAACATTTTAACTGCTTCTCTTTTTTGGAGTCACACCCACGCACACGCGCTAAATGCGTGCAAATAACAAAAGAAAAAACCGATAAGAGCGCAGGAGGATATGACGCAAAAGCTTTACATATTGAGCAAGATATTTTAATACGAAAAGGGACAAACGTAGACAGCGTGTTTAAAACTTTTCTAACTAGTTTTTTTGTTTTTTTTTTTAGTCAAGTTGTTATATACTAAGACGACCAGACTCCGTAATGTTAACGGGAAGATGCTACGTCATATCGAAGAAAACAATGTGCTGCCGAACGCCAAACATTTACCGGGTGTCCCAAAATTGCGGCCAGGCTCTTTAAATCGAGCGCGAAGTTCGGTTTCTTAACCTATCGCCCTACGAATTGGTGCAGCGTTGTCCAAAGATAGTGCATGTTTTTGGAAAAATTTGCAAAGAGCGAACTTACCTAAGGAAAAAGTAAAGAAAGGGAAGTTTTAACTTCTATGGAAACGCAGCGAAGCCACAGGTCTTCAAACAATATATACCGCGCCGTTTTGCACAGGAGACAAGAGATGGCGCAAGCGGTCGCGACGCCGACTGCCGCCAACGAACGAACATACGGCGCCGAGAGCCGGCGTAATTAGCGGACGATCTTTTCGACTCAAAAGCGGCCCGCGTTCCGCAGGCGCCGACAGTCGCAAAACTAAAAACAAACGCGGTAACAAAAAAGGAACTGCAAAGCAGACAACATCAGTACCCCGAAGAAAAAAAAAAACACTCAAAATACCCCGACAAACAATTTTTGAATCGATTATGTGTTGATTCAATGTGTTTTATTAGTAAGGATGATGATAGTTCGTTGGCGGCAGTTGGCGTCGCGACCGCTTGCGCCATCTTTCGTATCCCATGCGAAACGGCGCCGTACTGTTTTAAGGCCGGTGGCTTCGCTTCGTTTCCATAGGAGCTAAGCCTTTTTCTTTCTTTACTTCTTTCTTGGGTAAGTTAACTTCCTGCGAATTTTACAAAAAAAAAAAAAAAATTGCAGCTTCTGTGGGAAACGCTGCAGAAAATCACAGCGCGATAGATTAAGAAACCTAATTTTGTGGCCGATTGAAAGAGCCTGGCCGCTGTTTGGGTCACCCGGTATTTCCTCCAGGACGGAGTTGCGAAACAACACTGCATGGGTACCATGACACACACGGCATGCGCGTTCCTCGACAACCGCGCACCTTGTGAGCTAGTACCGTTTAACTTTGTGAATGCAAGCTACCGCATTGATCCCCCCCCCCCCCCCCCTTCCTGTTCGAGAAAATAAGTGATTCAGGTATCAAAGGCTCCCTGCGACAATGGCTTTACGACCCAGTTGCTGGAAGGACACAACGCGTTTTGT